GGGCGCAGGGAGGAGGGGGCCGAGGCCCTTTCTGGAACCCGGCGCCACATCTGTGCATGCCCCCGTCACACAGCTGTCACCTCTGAGCCCCCTGGGGGCTGCGGGCCACGCCTGCGCCTGTCCCCTGAAACTCGGGACCCCACTGCCTAGTCTCAAAGGAGAAACTGAGGCAGAGAGGAGGGAAGCCACGTGCTCAGACACATTGTCCCCAGCCAGGGCGGGGTGGAACCAGCCCGAGCCTCAGGCTGCCCGGCCGTGGGGACCCCCGTGGGCGCCCCCCGCCGGCTCCTCCAGGGCCCTCCCACCCCGCCAACTGTGGGGCTCAGGCCAACACCCCCCGGGGCTCCGTCCCCTCTCCTCCCTCCACCTCCTCGGGCCGTTCAGGCCCCCAGCCCCGCCCTCCTGGACGCCAGCCCCCAGCAGCTCCTCCCCCCGAAGCAGCCGAGGACTCTGTAAAACGTGACTCGGTGTCACGGCCCCGCTTCAACCTGCCAGCGCCACCCACTGAGCTCAGAAGGGAGCCCGGGGCGCGGCCACTGTGGCTGCTTGGCCCCGTGGCTGGCCCTGCCCATCAGGCCCCACACTGACTCCACTTCTGTGGCTCCAGCAAATCATGCTCCTTCCCACCTCAGGGCCTTTGCACGGGCTGTTCCCTCTGCCTGAATGCTAACCCACGGCTGCTGCTTCTCACTGGGTCCCCTCCTCCCTGACCATTTCGGCCACAGTGGGTCCCAGGCACCCACTATCCCAGGGCGCCTGGGTCGTGCACCCATCGTCCAGTGTGGCCTCATTCAGGGCTCGACCAACATCTTCCAAAAAGGAGCAGAAGGGGCATGTTTTCAAGTTTGCAGCCCGTCTGGACTCGGTCTCTGCCGTGGGAGCGGGAGGCCATGTGGACGACACGCACACGATGGGCATGGCCGGGGGCCCAGGAACCTTGATGAACAAGATCTGGTGGTGGCCGGACTCCAGCCACTGTCGGCGGACCCTGGGTCTCATCTGTGTACTTGCTCACCGTCCGTACCCTGACCCCCCCCCACTGATGTGACCCAGGCACCCAGGACCCCACCCTGCCCCTAGGCGGCGCTCAGTGAGCACCATGGGAGGACTGAGCCCCACCCGCACGGGCTCCCGAGCAGTGCCCTCTGACCCGGCCCGAGGAGGGAGGGAGACCCAGCACCCGCCCGGCCCAGCCCACGCCCGTGTCACAGACAGAGACACTGAGGCGGAGCGTCCCCAGCTGGTGGCTGGGCTCCCATGGAATGGCCCGAGGCCGTCAGTCCCAGAGCCCGGGCGGGATTCCAAGGGGGGCCTTATGCCTCCAAAGGCCACGGCGCTGACTCGCACCCAGGGGACAAGGGACGTGGCGACCCCCGGTTACCCTTCGCTCACGGCTACAGAGGAGGCCCTGCTGGCCCTCGCTGTCCTTAAGCACACAGGCCTCTGCTGGGCTGCGCTGGCCTCCTGTCCCTTCAGACCTCCCCAAATGCAGGGGAAGGCTCACCGAAGAGGGGACACTGGAGCAAAACCTGAACGACCTAAGGAAGCAAATGACACAGGTATGGAGAACGAGTGTTCCAGGCTGAGGGAACAGCCATGCAAAGGCCCTGGGGCAGGCTGAGGCCTGGCACGTGGAAGGAGCAGCGAGGAGGCCTGTATGGCTGAAGCAGAGGGAGGAGGGGGAGGGGGGAGAGGGAGGAGGAAGGGCAGGGAGGGGACGAGGCAGGTCATGTGGGGCCTGGGGGGCTGCGGGGAGGACTCAGTTTCTCCCCCGAGGGCTGTGGGCGGAGGAGGACGGGCCCTGACTCAGTGTTTAGTGGGAGCCTCTGGAGCGAGCAGTGGGGGGCACTGGCACAGACAGGGACCAGGCCATCAAGGGATGACGAGGCTGGACCAGGTGGCGGCAGAGGCGGGGGGCACGTGGGTGGATCCGGGTCCGTCTGGAAGGCAGAGCGGACAGAAGCGGCCAACACATTCGACGTGGGAGGGCGGGGGGCGGGCACGATGCCGACAGTGCCGAGATGTCACGGACGCAGGAAGGCCAGGAGGGAAACGGCTCGGAAACAGCGAGCACAGCGCAGGCTGAAGCCCACAGGCAGCCCTTGGGCCAGGGCGGTCGGCCCCATGAACGTGTCCAAGCCCCCCCAGATACACCCCGAGATGTCCCCACGCGGCCCTCGGAGGCCAATGGAGACCCCACCAGGCCCCTTCCAGACCCAGCTCAGGAGCAAGGAGCTGGGCGTTTAAAGTGACCAGATTCTAAAGGGCAGGAGCTCTGTCCCGCCTCGCGTCAGATGGGCCAGAACTGCCAAGGCGACAACACCCGGAGCTGGCAAGGCTGGGGGACAGGGACAATCTCCCTCGGCCCGTCGGACCTTTCCGGAAAGCCACCGGGCACCGGACAGTCATTTTGCAACCTGCCTGCCCCGGACCCAGCCACCCCAAGGCGGGGACTCCGACCGCTGAAAACGGAGCGCCCAGTTTCAGGCCTGGCTTATGACAGCGAAAGGCCACTCCAGAAACAAGCGGGATGTCCCCAGCAGGAGGCTGGTGGAGTCGGCAGTGGCTGGCACCCCGACATACTTGGGGTGACTCAGGGAGGGCCATGACCGCCCCACTGCACAGACGGCGACACTGATGCTCCGAGAGGTCAAGGCGTCTGTCTGCCCTTCGAGGTCACACAGCAACGGAGCGGGACCCAGGCAGCCTGGGCCTCCCACCCTCTTCACCGCGGCACCGACCTCTCTCTAAGCAAATAACCGATACCGACGTGGGGAAAAAATCCAGATTCTTACGGATAAAGAGCGAGCAAGTTCTAGAATAAGAGATACAGCACCGTGGCTCTCGCCCAGGGTGACTGCGTCTCCAGGGAACCCAGGGCCATGTCTGGGGACGTCCGTGGTCGTCACGACTCGGGGAGCTCCTGGCATTGAGTGGGTGGGGACCAGGGATGCTGCTCAGCCCCCCACAGCGCATCCTGGGCCCCCAAAGAAAGAATTTTCCAGCCCAAATGTCATCTGGGCGAGGAACTCGCACCGGCACCGCTGACACATCTGGACCATGTAGCGTGGCAGCCAGCACTCGCCAGGGCTACACTGGCACGGGGAGAACCGGGGCTGGAGGGGCCAGGCAGCTCTCCGCATACAGGGAGTGAGATAAACCATCGGCGGGGGAGTCCTAATTCTACAGACTTTGGGGGCAGGTGGGAGGAGCCAGCCGTGTCTTTGAGGTCCCCGTGCCCGGGCCCAGCCACAGCCGGGACCTCTCTCTGCCCCGATCGGCGCCCGAGCCCCTGATAAGACACATGGTTGCTGCGCGGCCTCCGTGTGGCCCCCGGGTCTGGGACATCCTGTCTCCGACCAGCCCAGGCCCGAGGGCTGATGGTGGAGGGCAGGGGGCTACAAAGGACCTCATCTGAGTCCCCAGCCAGGCCACCGGCCCAGAACGAGGGCGAGGCGACTGGATGCTGGGAATGAATGAACGGGGTCATCCGCCAGGCGGGTCCAGATGGCAGCGGGCAGGGAGGCGGCGGGAGCCTTTCGGAGCCCGGGGGACGCTCGTGCTCTCTCTCTCCAGACATTTCTCCCAACTCCCAGGCAGCATATCATCTCCCCGCCCGCCAAGGAAGCTTCCGGAGGCCCGGGGGAGACGGAGGCTGGGTGCCCATGTGGGTGTCTACAGGGACTCAGCCGGCCGGGGCCCGAGCTGCTGGGGGCAGCAGAGGATTCTGTGCACCGGAAACTTCCTATTAGGGAGCGTGTGATCGCAACCGAGAAGGAACCAAGGAACCGTTCCTCTGGGCTGTGGCTGGCTCTGCACACCGCCCCGGGGCAAGGCAGGCGCCACGGGCTGGGCTGGGCCAGGCCACTCGCTCCCCACACCTGCTCTGCCGGGGGCCAGGGAGGGACGCCAAGGAGAGAGGCAGGAGGAAGCCATGTCCCTACACGGCTCCCACAGCCCCCCGGGGGCCAGGGAGAAGGCTGGTGGGGGGCCTCCTCCTCTGCCATCTGCTTGCTGAGGCCCCACACTGCAGAGCCCTCTGGACCTCATGTCCCAGACCTCTCCTCTTATAGGGAGGTAAACTGAGGCCCAGAATGGTAAAGAATGACCACTGCCCTGGAAACCGGGTCTGGTGACTTCCACAGGGGGAGAGGACACCGTCAGCAGGCTGACCCAGATGGCCTCAAAGACCTCCCACCTCCACCCCAGCCACCCTGACCATTAAGATGGGCCCACGGGTGACCGCTAGTTGGGGGAAGGGGCGAGGCCTGGAAGCTGACACCAGCAAGGTGAGCGGCCCCGAGGACCGGGTCCAGGCAGGGGCGCACATCTGGGACACTGTCACCTCCCTGCCATGCCCCGCCCGGCCTTGGCAGCAGGGCCCACCACCAGAACGGGGGTGGGGGGCTCCACCATGCAGCCCACACACGCAGAGCAGCCCCCCGCCGACGAGATTGGGGGGGGCCGTCGTCCCCGAGCGCCCTCGGCAGGAGGCAGCGCGCCCACCCACCGCGCGTCCTCCAAGGGGCTGTCACGCCGGAGGTCAGGATCCGTCTTCAGGGGGCTGCTCCACCCACAGCCTGCAGGATGGGGCCCCGCACCCACCCGCGGCCCGGCTCCCCACCTCCAGGACCCCCGGAATGGGCGGCGTCCCCCAGCCCCAGACGGGGTGCTCCATCCCCCGACCCGGGCTTGGGGCGCTCCATCCTCCGGCCCCGAGACGGGGTGCTCCATCCCCCGGACCCGGCGTGGGGTGCTCCATCCCTCGGCCCCCAAGCGGGGTGCTCCATCCCCGGGGCGCTCCATCCCCGGGGTGCTCCATCCCTCGGCCCCCAAGCGGGGTGCCCCATCCCCGGGGCGCTCCGTCCCCCCCCCGCGGGCGCCCCGAGTGGAACGCTCCGGCCCGGGTCCCCGCGCCCCTCGGCGCTCGGACGGGTCCACTGGGCGCCGGCGGGGGGGGCCGGCGGGTCCATTCGGGGAGCGGGGTCCGGAACCGTTACCTGCCGCCGCCCCGCTCTCCGCCGCCCAGGCCGCCTCCGCGGGCACGGCCCCCGCCTCGGCGCTCTCCGCCTCGTCCGGCACCTCCAGCTCCATGGCCGCGCGGACCGGCAGGGCCGGCGCCCCGGGGCTGCGAGCCGACTGCGGCCGCGCCGAACAACAAGCGCCGGCGGCCGCAGGGCGGAGGGCGGGCCGGGGGCGGGGCGGGGCCGCGCGTCATCGCGCACCGCGCGCGCTGCCAATCGGGGCTCGGGGGCGGGGCCTGCGTGCGCCCCGGGCCTCCCAGCCCCTCGTGCGCCCCCGCGCGCCCGGGGGGTGGAAGTGCAGCGCCGCTCCCCGCACTTAACGTCGGTCTGTTAGCAATATCCCACATAATCAATACAAATAATATTTACAACTAGCAAACTATCTACCTTCCTACTACAAAGAACACCTGCTTATTTCACATGTTTTAATGTAAATATTTATAATAATAAGTTTAATTTTTATTATTCTGCTCAACATAAATTATATATATTACAATAGACATAATATTATTTTAAAAATTAACATGATATTATTACGTAAAATAACATTAATACATAATTTACAAATATCATACATAATATGTAACGTTATGTATAATGTAAAAAATAAGTTTAATTTTTATTATTCTGCTCAACATACACTATATGTATTACAATAGACACATTTTAAAAATTAACATATTATTATCTAAATAATATTAACATATAACTTACAAATATCATACATAATATGTAACATTATGTATAATGGAAAAAAATAAGTTTAATTTTTATTATTCTGCTCAACATACATTGTATATATTACAATACACACATTTTAAAAATTAACATATTATTACATAAATAATATGAATATATAATTTACAAATATCATACATGATGTGTAACATTATGTATAATGTAAAATAAATAAGTTTAATTTTCATTATTCTGCTCAACATAAATTATATATAACAGACATTATTTTAAAATTAATATGATATTATTATCTAAGTAATATTAATATACACTCACAAATATCATACATAACATATGACATGTATAATGTAAAATAAATAAGTTCGATTTTTATTATTCTGCTCAACATACATTATATATGATAGACATGTTATCAAAAAACTTAATATATTGTTATAAAAGTAATATTAATGTGTAACCTACAAATATCATGCATAATATATATGTACAATGTAATAACAAATAAGTTATAAGTAGTGACTTATATTATTATGAAATGCCAGGCTCGGTGCTAAGGTGACTGTCTGTGGAATCTCCATAAGTTAGAGAGCTGTTTTTTTGTTTCCTTTGTTTTCCTTTTTCACTACTCGTATATTCCCAGCACCTAACACAGAATCTAACACCTCGAAGACAATGAATATTTGATGATATGGATCAAGCCGACGGAAACTATTGTCACCCCATTTTACACATGAGCAAACAGAAGCTCAGAGAGCTGGAGCCACTTGCTCAAATCACGCAAAGAATCGGGCCCTGAAACAGCATCTTTGTGTATTGTCTCAAGAATCATTGTGTTAATACTGTCATTAAAGTCTAATGGTGAATTTATGAAAGATAAGGCTAGGTGGTCATTAATTTTAAGGTCATGATTTGGGGAGTAATAAATGTTGCTGTTAGTTTCACTGGTTATTAGCAATTTCTGCTGGGGGTGCGTGGGGGAGTGGGGCGCCCTGCGAGTGAGGGACGGAGCTGGGATGTTGTCACCCAGGCCTTCTGGCTCCAGAGACCTGGCCCCTTGTCACTGAGTCGGGGCCTGGCGAAGCCAGTGGAAGGCTAGCAAGGTTGGTTTTTGGGGTGCTTGGCAATGCAATGATGGGGAACAGGAAGATGGAGCAGGTCACAGTCAGACCCAGGGAGTGGAAAGATGCTTCAGAAATGCTATCCATCAAAACAAAGAGACAAATCAAAGAAAGGGGAGAGATGGAGAACAGGATTGCCCGGGATTGGGCAAAGGGCTCCCGCAGGTGAGCAGAGTGGAGGAGCCAAAATGCTCCAGGGAACTGATGGATCATGGATACACACAATGTGGTCCAGCCACACAGTGGAATATTACTCAGTCAGGAAAAAGGAAGGAGACCCTGACAGCTGCTCCCACGTGGACGGACCTGGAGGACGTGATGCTCAGGGACGTGAGCCAGACACAGAAGGACACACACTGTGTGGTCCACTCACAGGAGGTCCCCAGAGGAGCCACATCCACAGAGACAGGAAGTGGATGGGGGGCCAGGGGCTGGGGGAGGGCTGGGAGTCAGTGTTTCACGGGGACAGGTGTATGTTACCACCATCTAAAACAAAAAAAGGGATGGAACTCCCGAATCATCTCTGCTCTATCTTGAGAGAGAAGATTTAGACCAATGGTTCTCAAAGCGGGGTCCCCAGACCCGCAGCCTCAGCATCACCCGGGAGCTTGTGAGAAATTCCGATCCTCAGGGCCCCACCCCAGACCTCCCACATCAGAAACTGCAGTCTGGGGTTCAAGGTGCCCCCCCCAAGGCGATTCGGGCGCCCGGTAGAGGTTGAGACAGAAAGGCCAGGGGGCAGATCGGCGATCAGGGCCACGCAACCGAAGCAAATTTAAAAAAAAAAAAACAAAAAACAGAAAAACCCAACTCAGGGTTGATTCTGAAACTCTCCAGGCCGGACGTCAATCCTCAAAGAGAAAAATCAAGAAGTGGTCCAACCGCATTACTCAGAGAGGCGGAAGCGAACGTCAACCGAATTGAGCTTAAAAAAGCGAAAGGGGCGCCGCCCCCGGGAAGCGAGAAATTGTTGGGGGGCGATGTCGCTGCTCCTTTGCACAAACGCCGCGCGAGAAAAGTGACTCTTTAAAGCGCGTGCATGGATAAATTTTAATTAAAAATAAAAACTTAAAAAAATAATCAACCAAACTGGTGCTGGAAAGTGGGGGGCGGGAGGGGAGAGGCGGGGGGCCGGGATCCGGGCGGGGCTCCGGCTGCATCCGCCCTCATCCCCGGTCCCGGGTCCCCATTTTGCAGGATGGAGAAGCGAGGAGGCCCCGCCGGTCCGGTTGCTGGGTTTCTGGCTCCCCTGGTGGCGATAGTGGCTATTGCCGCCAGCCGGCAGGTGGGAGGGACGTGCATCTTCATTCATTCATTCATTCATTCATTCATGGCACAAATATTTATTGAGCGCCTACTGTTTACCAGGCATGGGGATGCAGGAATGAGCAAGACAAAATCCAAGACCTCAGTGAGGCGACATCTAGAAGAGACAGACAAATAAATACAAGACAGTTGCGACCACGAATAGATACTTAGAAAATAACACAGTTGTGATGCAAAAAGATGCAGCCGACAGGCAATCCGGATTAAGCGCCCCTTCCAGCGCCGTCCCGAACTCCGACGCGAGCCAATTTCCATCTAAAACGGGAAACGCCATTTAACATTTTCTAGTAACCACGTTTTCGAAAGCAAAGAAGAAACCGGCGGGATGAATTTCAACGATGTATTTCACCGAACCCCAGACGCGCGAAACATTGTCCTTTCAACATGGAATCGGTGTTCAAAAGAACGAGCCGCTTTTTGCATCCCTTTGGGGGGACCCGGTGTTGGCAATCCGGCGTGAATTCCACGGTTACCCACACCTCGTTCGTTCGCCCCGGCCACCCGTGGTTGGCATCTAGAAGGTGCGGACCTACTGTGCGCCCAGCAGGGTGCAAAGCACTTTACACACATTCTTTCCTTTAGTCAGTCTTCCAAACGCCCCTGGGAAGCCGATGCTGGTGTTCTTTATATTTCTCAGATGAGGAAACCGAGGACTTAGCCAAAGGGACCCGGCTGGGGTGTGGCTGGAGATTCTCAGGACAGACCCCGGGGGTCCCTTGGTGGCAGAGAAGCAGAATTTGCACCCAGACCCGCTGGCTGGGAAGGAGGCAGCCACTGGGCCACCGTCTGTGGGACGGCTCTGGAGTCCCCGATGCAGGGGGTTGGCGCGGCAAGGGGGCCAGGAGGGTGCCACTCACTCACTCCTTCACGGATTCAGCAAGCGTTCCCCAAGGACGCGCCCCGGTGGTTCCAGTCCCCCGCGCCGACGCCTCTGGGCCAGCAGGGGTTAAGGCCAGCTGCTCCCACGTGAGAGCACCTTGCGACAGAGCCACACACCCAGCCGGCCGCCGGCCCGGGCTCCCTCACACCCGCCGGTCTGCCCTGCACATTGTCGCTGGTCCCACCGTTCTCGGGACCCGCCAGCCTGTTGCTGCCGAGAGGGACGGACAGCTGGGCCAACAGGTGGGCAGGCCTGAGCTCAGCCCCCAGGCCCCCTCCCCGCCCCGCATGCCAGCCGGCCACCCAGGCCCGGGCTCCTGCGGCCTCCTAGACAGGTGAGTCCCCCAGCCTGGGGATGGCTCTGCCCCCATCCCTGGGGCGCAGCCCCGCCTCCCCCTCCGCGGGGTCCCGGGACCCCCGTCACCTCCCCAGCTCCCCGGAAAGGGAAACTGACACTCCGTGTGGGCATCTGACACGGTTTCCAAAGGATTAGCTGCCGCCAGTTTCTGCCCCTGGCCGCCTGCCCGGGCCGCCGCAGCCACAGACTTGAAAGGGTCATTGTTGGCCCAGGTGACACCCGGAGGCCAAGGGGGCACTGGTTGGTCTCCGATCCCCCCACAGAGGAGGGGAGGCCCTGGCGGGGAGGCAGCCCGTCGCCTGGTTGGTGTCTGAGCCTCCTGGAAGTTCTTAAGAGGCCCCCAAGTTTGCAGAGCGTCGCCTCCCCCCACTGCTGGAACCTTGGGGAGCCGGGGGCGGGGGTCCCCAGAGGGCGCATCTCTCTTCTTGATTCGTCTCCAAGCGAAGACTCCCAAAGGGGAGACGCAGGAAGGGGCGGGGGCGGCCAGCGGTCACACAGTCTCCAGAACCTGGAGGCCACAGGGGGTCCAGCGGCAACAGCTCTTTCTGGGTCATTTGCTCCCAAAAGTGCAGGACAAAGCGAGCTTCGGGCCAACCCGGTGTCCGATGGCGCCTTAGGGCCCTTTGTCCGGGACCAGGAGGGGCCCCGGGGCCGGGGAGTCGGGGCGTCCCAGACGCGGGGTGCAGAGCCAGCCCTGTATTTGGGGGGACTCCCACGGAGAGGAGAGGCTGGGGATCTGGGGTGCGTGGGGTTCGGGGGTTCCATCTCGACCATCAGATCCTGCCCTGCCCGGGGTTGGGAGAGAAAACCCACAGAGCCTGACAGAGCTGGCCTCCCGCTCTCTGTGTAAACTGAATATAAGAGTCTCCGCCTCGCTGGGCTGCTGAGGGCGGGGAACAGATTCTTGTTGGGGATAAGCCGTCCCGCCCAAAATCAGAGCTCAGAATACCGGGGCATCTGCCCTCCCTGTGCGATGGAGGGGAAACTGGGGCTCAGAGAGGGCCACTCGCCTGGGGCTGCACAGCAATGCAGAGCTGTCAGGCAGACAGGAGAACGGGAAGCTCTGGGGGCTGCCCCGGCCCCCCAACCCCGTGCCCCAGGCTCAGCATCCTGTGAAAGCCCTGCCTCCCCGGCTCAGTGCCTCCGCCGGGCCCTGAGCTCTGAGGAAAGTCCCCAGCGGGAGTCTGGGATCCTGTCCTTCCTCCTGGGGCTGGGCCGGGCGCCAGGCGAGCAGTGTTTGCTCAGGGTGGAGCCAACACCCTTTGGAATGAGCTGAGGTTAGTGGGAGACCCGACTGGGAGGAGGGGTCGCCCTGGGAGCGAACCTGCACTGATGGAGCGCCTACTGTTTGCCGGTGGCATCTGGGCCTTGGGGATTCAGCAAGGCCCCGAAGATGCCTGCTCTCGTGGGGCTTATATTTTGGTGGGGGAAGATGAACAAGAGACAAGAGACCTAATAAGGAAGTAACTTGTATTCTCGGTTGTATCCTGGGTTAGAGGATGGTCAGTCAGACAGGAAAAAAAAGAGAAAAAAAGTGGGAGGTACCCCGACCGGAGTGACCCGGCGGGCGGGGCGGTGTTTTATAATCTGAAAGGAAAGGTCAGGGGAGGGCTTCTCACGAAGCCACATTTGAGCAAAGACTTGGAGGAAGTGAGTAGTTTGGGGATGGGCATTCCAGGGAGCAGGAACAGCATGTGCAAAGGCCCTGGGGCAGGGCTGTTGGAGGATCAGCGAGGAGGCTGTGGCTGGAGCAGAGGGAGGAGGGGGAGAGAGGGAGGAGGGAAGGCGGGGGGGAGGGGCAGGTTGTGTGGGGCTGGGGGGCCGCGGGGAGGACTCAGCTTCTCCTCGAGGGAGGGGAGCCTGGAGGGCTGCAGGCTCAGGGGCTCCGCGCGCCCTCTGGTGGCCGCTGCGGGGAGGACAGGCTGGGGGGACAATGGCGGAGGGGACAGCGCTGGTCCAGGGGGCGATGCTGGGGGCCCAGGTGGAGGCAGAGGTGGGAGAAGTGGGCAGATTCTGGAAAGATTTTGGCAGAATGAACAGCCTTTGCCGACATCCCAGAGCCAGCTTGGGGTCCCAGGTGACAGGGAAGAAAAGTGGGAAGAAGGTTCCGGAACTTCTAGGTGAGAGGGCCCGGTGGAGGTGGGTGGAAACCTCCCCGCGGAAGAGCCTTGAACGCCGAGGGAAGGCTTTCAGTGTTAGGACATTAAAGGATCATTTTTTCCCCCAAAAAAGATAAAACCACGACTCTCACACCATATGGAACAAGCAGGCGGGTTCCGAGGTTACCGAACTCCCTCATTCGCGCGAACTCGCTCATTCGCGCGCGAATAGCGAGATTCCACACCAGTTTAAAGAGGAAAGTGGGACAGGACGGACCCACGGAGGCCTCGAAAACGCCGCGACGAATTTACAGGTCGATGCCAAGCGGCCCTCGGCCTCCGCGGGGTCCCTGTGCCGCCCGCTCCCCGGGATTTTCAGGGCGGGAAACCGGTCCGAGCAGCACCGAGGAGTCCCGGGGAGCCGGCCTGGCGCCGGGCAGACGCTCCGGAAATGCGCCGGGAGCCGGTGCCCGGGGGCTCTAGAATGTTCCAGAGCCGCAGGCCCCGCTTGGGAGCCGCGCGTTCCTCGGTGGCCCCGTTTGTGGCACGTCTTGTCTCTTCTCCCCGCTGGGCTGCGACCTTCCGCGGTGGGTCGTGTCCCCGCCCCCCGAGGAGGGCCAGAGATGCATGCAGTAGGTGCTCGATAAGTGCCTCAGTCGCTCCCGGGGAGCCACCGAAGATTCTAAACGGGGGAGGACGGGCAGATTCTGGGCGCCGCGGGCTCGGCCACGAGGCCCCCAGGGACCAGCAGTGTGGGGGGCACGGGGACCCGGAGTGGGGGGCTTCGGGGAGCCCGACTGGAGACAGGGACGGGAGAACGGGGGGGGGGGGGGGGGGACGGAGGGCGGGGTCTGGACACAGACAATAGACCCTCAATGAAGACAGTTTCCAGGGGTCCCCCTCCAGCCCCGGGGACCCCGTCGTTCACCTTTGTTTTCCCCGCTGGGAACCAGATCCCTATGATACAGATGGGGAAACTGAGGCAGGAAGCAGCGGGGCTGGAATTCCGAAGGGGCCCTGAGCTTCCTCCCTGCTGTGGGGACCCTCCCGGGAGCCCCTCAGGCGGCATCCCCGGCTCCAAGCTGCTGGTCCTCCACGGTGCCAACTCACAGGACGTCCCTCGTCCTCTGTGCTTGTTGCCGAGCCAGCCGCGCCCGGAGGTGGCCCTTCCTGAAGCCCAGCGCCTGTGCCTGCTGCTCCTCCGGGCCTGCCCCAGGGCCTTTGCACGGGCTGTTTACTTCCTGGAACACCCAGGTCTCTCCGTGCTCCCGCCACCTCTCCTTCAGGCCTACTGTCCCCTCTGCCTGGATCCTTTGTCCCCTAGGTGACTCCTGCCAAACCCAGTTCTCAGCTCAGCGCCACCTCCCCAGGGAAGCCCTCAGGAGCCTCCAGCCGGGGCGTGTCTCCTGGCAGAGCTCTCGGAAGTCCAGGTCGGCCTCCCGAGGGGCACGATTGTGCGGGTCGCCCGGGCCCCCGGGGCTGCCATCAGGGCGCAGACCGTCTGTCCTGTGCGTACACAGTGGGCGCTCAAAAAGTGCTGTGGCCTGGCGGGCGGGCTGCAGCGCGGCCTCGGGGCATCTTTGGGTTCCGGTCAGACCTGTCGGGCCACAGGTGTGACCTCAGCCAAGCAGCCCGTGTGACCCCTCCGGGGGCCCTCAGCCCCGCCCCTGCCCTCTTGGACCTCAGTTTCCCCCCAGGTGCTCCGAAGGGGCAGAGCAGGGGCACCCTCGAGGCCCTTCCGGCCTGGTCCCCCTGCCCCCTCCTCCCCTCGTCCCTTCGTCCCCTCCTGGCTGATGGCGGCACTGCGTTCCGCCGGGAAGTCGATCCAGCCGGAGTCTCCTGTGTTCACGGCTCAAAGCGAGGGCTGGAAACGAGTCTGGAAACGAGTCTGCGGGGTGAACGACTGAATGGAGGGAATGAACGAATGAAGGACCGTGGCCTCGGCCACGCCCTTCCCTGAGCGGTGCCTTTCAGCGCGGTGGCCGAGGGGCCCTAGGGAGCCATCGAGTGTTCTTGAATGGAGGCAAGGATGTGTGAGGATAGACTGACACGTGTCCTGGGGGGCTGCCCTCTTCTTAGGGGGGTTTCATGAGAACAGACACAGCGATTTAAAACCCGCTTGACCCTGTTTTTCCTCAAACCGTCTTGTCCGTGGCCTGCTGGGGGCCAAACGGCATGCTGGGAAAGGCTGAGCCGTGGGTGGGTATACAGCAGGCGCCCAGCGAGCCTTGGTTTGGGGTCATGGTGTTGCCACGTGGGTCCGCACGGGGACTCTCTATGCATCTTATGCCTATTCACCCACTAATCCTTTGACGTGGGTCCTGTGATTTTCCCCATTTATAGATGGGGAAACTGAGGCACAGAGCGGTCACGTGGCTTACACAAGGTCGCACTGCTGGACCAGGACAGCGGATCACATCGCTGTCCTACTCCAGCCCCCGTTAAACCCTCCTAACCTTCACTCTGTCAGGGCTGTTATTTCCCCCAATTACAGATGGGGAAACTGAGGCCCAGAAAGGGGAAGTGACTTGCCTGGGGTCCCACAGCAAATAGGTGAGAGATCCAAGATTAGAACCCTTCCATCCCTCAAGTTCAAGTAGGTCCTTAGAAGGGGCTTCCTCAAAGGGTTATTGCCTGGGGGAGGGGGGGCCTCTGGGGACCCTTGAGGGGCTGATTCTGGCTGACGGGTGTCCCTGGACTTGTGTTTTTGGGGAGGACTCAGGTGAGGTGAGAAGCCAGCTTGGGGGCCTCAAAGACTTTGGGTATATTACCTGCCTGTTCACTTGGCAAACTCTTACCCAGCCTTCAAAACCCCAGCTGCAATGCCCCCTTCTCCAGGAAGCCTTCCCTGACCCCCGGTTTCCCCTCTGCCTCTCTCTTCCTCCAGCCTGGGCTTCCTCTCTGCGAGGCCTTGACTGGGTGAGGCTGGGAAGGGGCGTCTATGCCCAGATTTGCTGCTTCTACCTGGGGGGGGGGGTGAGCTGGGGCACAGGAGCAGCAGGGACACAACTGGTATTCCCCCCCAAGCCAGAAGGAATGTGGGCGGAGCCCCCGCCAGCTCCACCCAGGTGACCTCCTCCCTCCCTCCCGCAGGTGGCTGGGTGATCCCAGCTCTCGCCTTGGAGGGTGGGGCTGGGCAAGGGGCAGGAAGCCCGACCTTTACCGCCCCACCTTTGCCCTCGGGAGCCTGCGGGGTCGCCTCCCGCGCCGCCCCGCCCTCCGCAGCCGGGTAGCAGGCCAGGCCCCGCTGGCGAGGCTGTGCATCTTCAGCAAGTTCGCGTCTCTGGCACCCCCGGGCCTCAGTTTCCCCTCTGTGACATGCACTCAACCTCCCGGGGATGGGGCGACCCGAGGATGACCCGCCCCGCGCCCCGGAGGCCCAGCCCTCGACCAGCTCCCGACCCCCGGGTCCCCTCCGCCGAGCCTCCGGGGGGGGCGGGGCGGCTGTCGGGGCTGCAAGGGCTCCGCTCCGCGTGCGTCCGCCCGCCGGGTCTTCCTTGCAGCCCGGTCCGGCCCGTCCGCAGCCCTGGCCGCCGGCTCGCGTCCGGCTAAGCGGAAAACCCGGCCTGGGCTCCGCGCCCCCAGGACCCGGATCCTCGCCCGGAGCGGGAGCGAAGGCGGCGGGCGCGGCGCCCCGAAGGCGTGTCGCGCCGGGGGCGGGGCCGCCAGGGGACGCGGAGGAGGAAGACCGGCAGGTGCGGCCCGGAGCGGCGGGGCGGGCGGGAGGAGGGCGACAGCCGAGCGTCCCCGGCGCCCCGACCCTCCCAGCCTCCTCCCTGCCCCCGGGGTGGGGACCGGTTGACTGTTTCCAGGCCCCCCCTGGGGCCGGGGCGCTGGAGAGCCCCGGGGTGGAGCATGGCGGTGAGATTCCAGGCAAGTAGCCCGGCGAGGGCAGGAGGGGGAGGGGCTCGGACTGGGGTGGAGACTGGGACCCGATCCGGGACCCCCAGACCACCCTCTGCCCGCCTAACAGATGGGGAAACTGAGGCCCAGCGGAAGGCAGTGGCTAGCCCGGGCTGCGTAGCCTCCGAAAGCTGCCTCGGGGGCGTCCTCTGCCCCAGGGTCACCGGGAGACCTGGGTTCAGATCCCGATTGTTCTGTGCAACTTCGGGCCAGCGGGTCCACGCGTCTCCGTCCTTTCTCTCTGAAGTGGCAATAGGCGCCTAATAAAGACCCACGCCGGTTCCCAGGGGCACCCGGCCGAGCTCAGCGGGACCCTGATGACGGACAGCGGGTGGTGACTTCGTCTGCGGGCTGGGGAGGCTTTGTGGGCGCGGCGAGGCTGCGGGACAGGAGACCGTTGATTGGCGCCTACTGTATACGGAGCCGTTCTCTCGCGTTACCCGGCAGAGATGGGGAGGGGAGCCCCGTGTCTCTGTTTGGGGGGACGTCGCCCTCCGAGGATGGAGCCTGAACTGACCCACGCGCCGTACTGGGTCTCAGATCGGGCTCCGGACGGGTAAACTGAGGCCGCAGGGGGCACGGGGCTCGCCGGGGCCACACCGCCCCAGGCTCTAGGGCCGGGCAATTCTGATTCCTTCGCGTCCTTCCAGGCAGCTCCCGGGATCCCCTCCCCGACTCGATGTGTGTGGCCCCCTCCCGCCCCTCCCCCTCCATTGTTCCCTGAGGTGGAGGCGGGGAGGGGGAGAGGGGACAGCGGCCCGGCAGCCACGTGCCCCCGGGCTGTGTGACTTGGTGCGACCTGTCCCCTCTGGACGCGACCTGCCCTCTCTGGACGCGTGTCCTGCCCTTGCCAGGGGCTGGGGATAAGGCCCAGGCCCCGCCCCCTCGGAGCTCACCTGGACGGGGCTGCGCTGAGGGGGCTGGGAGCTCTGGACACACCTGGTTGAGTTCCTGGCCGAATGTGCCTTTTATTCCACCATTCACCCATTTCTCACACTCCGTCCCCTTGCTCGTCCTATGGCGATGGTGCTGGGCTCCACCCACCCGGAGTCCCCAGACTGGAGGGGTGTGAGGGAGACAGGTGGACTGGGATGTCCCAGGCCCCAGTAATCAGGGATGTAAGCTGCATGTATGGGCCCTTGGAGGAAGGGACGGTGGCCCTGGGGCTTTGAGGCATGAATAGGAGTTTGCCAGGGAGGACGGGATGTGCAAAGGCCTGGAAAGGAGGGCCCGGGAGATGCTGATACTGTCACCAGAGAGACAGCCCCGCCAGCCTTCACACCCCAAGGGGGAAGACCAGAAATTTGCAAATGGCGGATTAAACAGGACAGTTTAATGTGGTTTTAGATGCTGTGAATAAAGCGTAATAAATGAAGCACCCCGGGGAGATGGGATGCCAGGGAAGATTGGCTAGCCAAGGAGGACCCCCTGGAGGAGGCAGCGTCTGCGCTGAGACCTGAGTGGCAGGTCCCGGAGGGTGTCTCAGGCACAGGGGGCAACCAGGGCAGAGCTTATCTGAGGTGGGCTGTGGGGTCAACCTGGACCCCACGGGTGCGTGGGAGCCCCGGAGGGTGTTAGACAGACCTCCCGTATCCATGGAGGCGAAGCCGGCAAGCTGGGACAAGCCTGGGCCACCTGCGTGCGACAGCCCCTTCCCGGGGGCCCCGCTTCCCTGGGGGCTGTTTTCTTCAAATAAGGCCAGGAAATTAAAATTCCAGGAGGCCGTTTAACGACCCACAGTATAAAATCAAAGCAGGTAAAAAAGATTCTGCTTTGAAAAATAAGTTCGGAAGAAAGAAAAAAAAATGGGAAGGATGCTGCGACCCCCGGTTTGGAGTGAGGGTGCGAGGCAGGCCACTGGGGCTCACACTGCGCTGTGTGACCTCAGGCAAGTTCCTGAACCTCTCTGGGCCCCCGTTTCGTTTCCTCCCCTGTGAGGTAGGAAGAGGACCGGGGCCGCTTCCCGAGGTTGTTCGGGATGACAGGAAGGGGTTTTTGAGAGCGCTCGCTGCCGGCCGCGGGAAAAAGAATTGGGGGGGTGGGGACCCAGCTCACAGGTGGGGAAGCCCAGGGACCTGAGTGTGGATGGGGGCCCGACCGCCTCCGCCTGGTTCTCTCTTCCGCTCCCGCTCCGGGAGCCGGGGATGCTGCTCACGGGGACCGGGATCCCCAAGAGAAGGTGCCGGAGTGCGGGGCGGCCGGGGACACAGGCTGGGGAGGGGGCCCCCAGGAGCAGGGCAGCCCGGCAGGAGGTAAGGGATGGGGGCTGCTTCTGGCGGCTCCGAGCCCCACTTCTCCCGGGGTCTCCACGCCCCCCATTCCCCGGGGTCTCCACCCCCCAGCCCCACCGGCTCTGTTGTCCTGGCAGTGACCTCCTGTCCTCACTCCTCCCTGCGTCCAGTAGACACGGGCTCCCCGCTCCTCCCAAGCGAGACAGACAGAAGTCTCTCCTCCCCGAAGCCCGTGTTCCGGCGCGAGCCGGAGGGTGAACAGATTTTAAAAACCTAGAAGATGTTCAGGGGTCACAAGTTCTATGAATCAGGGTGATGTCCAGGGAAACGGGCAGAGGTGGTCTGTTGGGGGCCGGAGGGGTGACTTCACCGAGGAGGCAAGTTCGGGCTCCTGGAAGGAGGAGGTGAGGGGGCGAGTCAGGTGGATATCGGACAGAACAGTGTCCCAGGCAGCAGGCACAGCCTGTGCAAAGGCCCTGGGGCAGGCCTGGGCCTGGCGTGCGGGAGGAACAGCCAAGAGGCCCATGTGGCTGGAACCGAGTGAGCTCCCTCTGCCTGCGGGCCTGGCTGGATGCCCCCCGGGCTGAGCCAGACCTTCCAGAGGGAAAAGGGCCATGAACTGGTCTTCCCTCCGCTCCCACCCCAGTTTGGTCATCTAAACTGGGATTTCTCAGCTTCGGCACTTTCAACACTTGGGGCTGGACCATTTTCTCTCTGTGGGGGGTTGAACAGCATCCCTGGCCCCCATCCACTTGATGCCAGGAGCTCGCATGGTGTGACAACCACAGATGTCCCTAGATGTCGCCCAGTGTCCCCTGGGGGGCAGAACGGTCCTCAGTTAAGAACCATTGACTTGGGGCCCAGCCCGATGGCTCAGTGGTTAAGTGCACACGTTCCACTTTGGCGGCCCGGGGTTCACCGGTTCGGATCCCGGGTGCGGACATGGCACTGCTTGGCAAGCCATGCTGTGGCAGGCGACCCACGTATGAAGTAGAGGAAGATGGGCACGGATGTGCGCTCAGGGCCAGTCTTCCTCAGCAAAAAACAAAAAGAGAGAGAGAGAGCCACTGACTTAAATCCATTTCACAGATGAAAAACTTGAGGTCTCAAGAAAGGCAGCATCTTGGCCACAGGCTGGGATCACGGGAGCGTCAGAGCCAGGCTCCTCCCCCAGGGCTGGGCTCCCTGGATGCTCCCAGGGACGTGCCACTTCCTCACGCCCCCGTCCCCGTCCCCTCCCGCCAGGTCTCGGACATGGAGGAGCTGACCATCTGGGAGCAGCACACGGCCACGGTCTGCAAGGTGAGGCCTCCCTCCGTCCCCCCCCGGGGGGGGTTCAGCTCAGCAGGACTCGAGAACCTGTGTCCCCATGGGGAGGGGACAGAAGCTCATCCTGGCTGTCACCCCCCCAGGACCCCCGCCGTGGCTTTGGCATTGCCATCTCTGGCAGCCGGGACCGGTCCAGTGGCGCGGTGGTCATTTCCGATGTGGTGCCTGGAGGGCCGGCCGAGGGCAGGCTGCAGTGAGTATGAGGTGGGGGGCGGGCCCCGCGGGGACGGAGCTGGGAGGCTGGAACGTGCTGGCACCTTCGGGCTCTGTTGACACCAGCCGGGAGCTGGCAGCAGGACAGAGTCAGCTACGTGACCCCCACGCCCTCCGTGGAAGTTCCTGGTCCTCCGATGAGGTTCCTGGGGTCATAGTGGCCCCAGGGTGCTCCTGGCACAAAAAGTCCTGGAAACCTTTTTTTTTTGGCCGGAGTGAAGCAGACGCAGTGTCCTGAGCCGTTGGGAGCAGGCGGCTCCTGGGAGCTCTGCTGGGAAATGATTCTGGGCCCCGAGTGGCTCATGGGTGATATGGCTCAGCCCCGACTCGGAGAATATGAGGGATAAACGGCTCCATGGGCCCAGGGGCACCAGGGAGGTGGAGGCAGGCCTCGTAGACCTGGGGGTGCCTGCCCCGAAGGTGGGTGGTGGGGGGCCCCCCGTGGGAGGCCTCCTCCCTGAGACCCGGCCTCCCCCCACCCAGGACTGGGGACCAGATCGTCATGGTCAACGGGGTCTCCATGGAGAACATGACCTCCAGTTTCGCCATTCAGATCCTTAAGACGGGCACCAAGGTGGCCAACATTGTGAGTGGGGTCGGGGGGAGGGCCCGGCTCGGCCCCCACTGGGTCCCGCTGCCCGAGGACAGCCCAGAGCGGGCGGGGGTCCCCCAGGGCCACCGGTGCATGGACAGAGCCCTGAGCTGCCCCCTCCCTGCCCGCCTCCCCTCACAGACGGTGAAGCGACCCCGGAAAATCCAGCTGCCCGCCACCGGGGCCGGAGGGGCCGGCCTGGGACACCAGGACTCGGACGACGAGGCCGACCGCGGCCGGGGCTACGACGGGGACACATCCAGCGGCTCCGGCCACTCCTGGGGCGAGCGCTCCCGCCGGCCGAGGGGGGGTCGCCGGAGCCGGGCCGGTGGCTCCGAGGCCAATGGGCTGGCCCTGGTGTCCGGCTTCAAGCGGCTGCCGCGGCAGGACGTGCAGATGCGGCCCGTGAAGTCGGTGCTGGTGCGGAGGACGGACAGTGACGGTGAGCGGCCGGCCGGCTTGGGGACCGTGGGGCTCGGCGTCCCCGAAAGGGGGCCACACTGCTGCCCTGTTCTCGTCTGGTGCGCGGCGGGCAGGATAATGGGCCCCAAAGACGTCCCCATCCTGGTCCCCAGACCCGAGGACATGTCACCTCAGTAAAGGGACTCTGCAGATGGGCTAAGTTGAGGCCCCTGGGATGGGGGTGACCTGGGAGTCCCCGGGGCCCAGGGTCATCCCAGGGTCAGAGGCCGAGATGGAGACGCTGTGCTGCTGGCCGTGTAGACAGAGGAAGGGGCCCGGAGCCCAGGACGCGGCACCTCTGGAAGCTGGAGGAGGCGGGACACGCTCCTCCCCTGGGGCCTCCGGGACCCGCCCTGTCCTCACCGGGAATTTAGCCCCATGTGACTCATTTCAGACTCTGACCTCCGGCCCCGAGAGTTGACAATCTCATGTTGTTTTCCAGCCACTCAGTTGGTGGCCATTTGTGACACAGGCCCCAGGAAACTCACCCAGGTGACATCACTAGGGTGTCACCGCAATCGAATTGCCTTCTTGACACCGACCACGGGGATGTGACCTCTGACCCGAGTTTCCCTTCAACGGTGGCAACGTGACCTTAGGGTTCTGGTCCGGTCGCGAGGTGACAAGGGACGCTGGCACGTCTGCTCCCCACGTCGTCGTTTTAAGAACAACAGTCACATCCTAAAAACCCTAATCGCGATGTCGCTAAGGGTATCGGGGCCCTGACGTGGGAGCCCCGACGGTGGTGTCATCGGGGCGTCAGGAAGAGGGGACTCGGCCTCTGCTGCGTCTCAGGCCTCCCTGTGACCTCCGTGTGATGACGCCAGAGTCCTGTGGTGACATCGCACGTCCCACCTCATTGTCACCGTCGGGACAGCCCTGGTGTGACCCGGCGGGAGCCCGGCCTGGCCCTCCCTGCAGGACAGGGGCCCGGAAGGCGGACAGAGCCAAGGGCAGGCGGGAAGGCAGAGCTCCGAGAGCCCAGACCCCAGCCCCTGCCTCAGTTTCCCCTCTTCCCCCCCACAGAGTTCGGGGTCAAACTGGGCAGTCAGATCTTCATCAAACACATCACGGATTCGGGGCTGGCTGCGCGGAACCGCGGGCTGCGGGAGGGGGACCTCGTCCTACAGGTGAGCCAGGCTCCCGGTGGGGGCGGGGCAGGGAGCCCGAGTCACTCGGCAACGTCAGCCGAGCTGGCCCCGAACCGCTTGCCGTCTGCATTGTTACCTGCCTCCCAAAGGTTGGAGGTGGCGCCAGGATGCCCCCTCCCCCATCTGCTGCTGATCCATTGCCAAATGTCGGTTTCTAGTACCCCCTTGGGGTTGTCTGTTTCTAGTGACCCTGAGGAATTGTCTGTTTCTAGTGGTTTGGGGCCGACACTGGAAACAGCTTGGTGGGGGGACTAGAAACTCACAATTCCCAGGGTTGCTGAAGACCAGGCACTCCCAGGGGAAACTGTTACAAAGGGATTCCCGGTCTGAGTGGAGGGGACATCGTCCTCCCCAGGGACTGTGTTTCTCACCCACCTCGAGATGTCTGTTTCCGGTCCCTTTAAGTATCCTCCCCCCTTCCTCCATTCCAGTTGTTTCTAACATCTGTTCCGAGTCTCTCCTGAGAGCTTTTCTTTCCTAGGGAGACGGGGAGAGTCCACCCGTTTCCAGTTTTTCCCTAATGCCTCCCATCCCACCTAGAAAATTGTGTCTAGAATTCTTGTGGAAGTCAGTTCTTGGCGTAGTCCCTTGTCACGGCAGGAAGCCAGGGCTGTCATTTCCTCATGAGAATGTCTGTTTTTAGGAAGCCCCAAGGATTGTGTGTTTCTAGTCCCCCCACCAAACCGTCTGTTTCTAGTTCCCCCTATCTCTGGTTAACTCACCTCCTCTCCTCCTTCCGGGTCCCTTTTAGATCAACGGGGTGTCCAGTGAGAATCTGTCGCTGAGCGATACTCGGCGACTGATCGAGAAGTCGGAAGGGAAGCTCACCCTGCTGGTGCTCCGAGACCGAGGGCAGTTCCTGGTGAACATCCCGCCGGCCGTCAGTGACAGCGACAGCTCCCTCATGGAGGGTGAGGGGCCAGGAGGCAGGCCGCGGGGGATGGTGGGGGGTGCTGAATGGAGGGCGGAGCAGGCGGGGGGTCCCCGAGGCTCAGAGAGGGACAGAAACTTGCCCAAGGCCACACAGCTGGTCAGGGCCGGTCTAGGTCCCTTTGCCTCGAGGGGCCTCGATGTTCCGAGCGGTGAAATGGTCCAGCCCGGAAGGCGTGACTGTGGCTCACGGGGCGCCCTCTCCCCCGCAGACATCTCGGAACTCGGCTCAGAGGTGTCTCAGGTGCCGCCCTCCCACATCCCGCCGCCACCCCGGCACGGGCGGTGGAGCCCAGATGGCAGCCGATCCAACTCCCCTGTGTATGTACCCCTGTCGGCCGGGAGGGGATCATGGGCATGTCTTTGCCAGCGGGGGGGGTAGCCTTGAGGGTGCAGTCCCGGCGGCCTGCCTGGAGGAGGCCTTCCCTTGTCCACACACAGTCCTTCTTGCCCCCAGTATGTGGCTCTGGGTTCTCAGCACGGGCGAACCAGATGTGGATCAATGATGCGGAATGAACTGAATTTTTTTTTTCTAGAAGCCTTTTGACCCAAGAAGACTCCCTTTTAGGGATTTATCTTGGGGGCAAAAGAGCCGTGGGTGTGTGCAGGGACCGGGGCGCACCAGCGCTTCTGCTGCGTTCTGTGGGTCACGCAGACCAACCCTGGTTCAGCGTGGGAGGGCGACTCCAGCAGGCCGGGACTGCCAGGAGGTGGCGTCACAGGGGGGCCATCTCGGAGGCCAGAGGAGAGTCCGCCCCAAAGCCCCAACTCTTAGGGTGCTAACTAACGATGACAAAAGGAGATGATGCGCACGTGTGCTCCGCCCACAGCGAATGCTCAGTCCGTGAGCGGCTCTTCCGCGCTTTATGACGATTCTAACATACTCTCGCTCGGGAATACTAGACAGCCGTGAAAAAGGATGTCTTGGAGAGTGTATTTAAAAGGGCCAGGAAAATGCGCTGGCGTCGTGTGGGATGAATGAACCAGCTTGCAGGACACAGGGCAGCATTTCCCACAGTCCTGGAAGCTGCAAGTCCACGATAAACGTGACCGTTTGTGACAGGCTCATCTCATTTCGAGCCAGCCCGAAAGGAAGCCTTGACTTGACTCAGCCATCCCCAGGGCTCAGAGGAGGAAACTGAGGCTCAGAGAGGGAGAGCCATGGGCCCGAGCTCACACAGCCAGGAAGGGGCAGAACTAGGATTTGAATCTGAGTGCAGCTAAAATCCTGGGGCCTGCCCGGTGGCGCAGTGGTTAAGTGTGCACGTTCCACTTCGGTGGCCTGGGGTTCACGGGTTCAGATCCTGGGTGTGGACATGGCACCACTTGGCACACCATGCTGTGGTAGGTGTCCCACATATAAAGTAGAGGAAGATGGGCACGATGTTAGCTCAGGGCCAGTCTTCCTCAGTAAAAAAAAAGTCCTAAAAATCACTCCTCGACATCCCCCTGCACCAGGGAGAGCCCCCGGCTTCGGCGGGAAGGTTCCGGGGACTCCAGAAGCATCTCAGAACCAGGTGAGCCCAGGGCGGGTGGGTGGTGACTCTGAGCGCCCTCCCCTGATTTTTCTGATCCCTGCCAGTGAGGCTGTTCCAGGCAGAACAGAAAGGTTGCCACGGGCCTGGGAGGTCAGGGACAGCTCCCTGGGAAGGGACGAGGACTGGGTGACGGCTTTCCACGTGGCAGGGCCACCCAACAGCAAAGGTTGGGGGGCCGGACCGGCCCCTGTGCTTGGGAAAGAGACCACTGTTCCCTTCCAGACTCCGCCAGGCCGCGCAGCTATGACATCTACAGGGTCCCGAGCACTCAGAGTGTGGAGGACCGTGGGTACGTGACCCGTGGGGGTGTTGGGGAAACAGGCCTGGAGGGGTGGGGGCTCTCCAGGGACGCCCACCGGCCCGTCTCCGCCTCCCCCCGCAGGTACAGCCCCGACTCTCGGGTGATCCGCTTCTGCAAGGGCGCGAGCATCGGGCTGCGGCTGGCGGGGGGCAACGACGTGGGCATCTTCGTGTCGGGGGTGCAGGCTGACAGCCCGGCCGACGGGCAGGGCATCCAGGAAGGCGACGAGATTCTGCAGGTGACCGCGGGTGGTGGGTGGTACCCGGGGGGTGGGGTCTCTCACGGCTTGTGTGTCCTCCCCTGGGGCTGCCCTGGGGACCCGCCAGACCCCCCCAGACATTCGAACATATTAACGTCTCCCCGTCTGTGTCATGACCTCGGTCGGGTCATGCCTTGGTGGCATCTTAATTCCCCCACAATTGTCATCCCCCATGGTCACTTTATCGTCTCCTTGTCTGTGCGACTGTGTCTTCACTTTTGACTGTCACAAAATTTCGACCAGCGTCATCCCGTCACAGCTGTGGCCCCTGCCCCCACGGTTTGAAGTTGGGGACCCGCTGCGCCTCGGTTCTCCGTGCGCGTGTTGCAGGGCCCGGGTCCCGTTTCTGGGCCGAGACCCCCGTCGGCCCGTGACACCCGAGCTGCTGCAGGGGGACGCCCCGGTGGAAAGCCGCGTCCCATCGCCGGGGCCCCGATGGCGGCTCTGGAGGCAGCTGGGGGGGCTCTGTCCAGAAGAAGAGCTGGGGTCTCGGGCCTGGCCAGGGGGCACCCCGGGCTGAGTCCCATCTGGACCCCCTTCCTGGCAGGTGAATGACACGCCGTTCCGGAACCTGACCCGCGAGGAGGCCGTGCAGTTCCTGCTGGCGCTGCCGCCCGGCGAGGAGGTGGAGCTGGTGACACAGCGGAAGCAGGACAGTGAGTGTGGGGCGAGGGGTCCCTGGGGGCTGGGATCCTGGGGGGCCGGGGCAGCAGCCCAGCCAGCTCATGGACCGCCCCCACCCCCATCCCCACCCCATCCCCACCCCCACCCCATCCTCAGTCTTCCGGAAAATGGTGCAGTCCCGTGTGGGCGACTCCTTCTACATCCGCACCCACTTCGAGCTGGAGGCCAGCCCGCCGTCCTGCCTGGGCTTCACCCGGGGGGACGTCTTCCACGTGGTGGACACGCTATACCCGGGCCCCGGGCAGAGCCACTCCCGTGGAGGCCACTGGCTGGCGGTGCGCGTGGGCCGGGACCTCCGGGAGCAGGAGCGGGGCATCATTCCCAACCAAAGCAGGTGGGGACCGCGCCTCAGTTTCCCCGCTAGGAATGGGCATGGTGTCGCTCCTTAGTGGTGGTGATGGTTGACGTGAGGAGGTGCCGTCTGCACTTGTGTCAGTGTCCTAGGGCCACTGTCCCAGCTCCCCACAAACTTAGTGGCTTCAAACAGCATGCATTGATCATCTCACGTTCTGGGGTCTGGAGTCCTAAACCCAGGGGCGGGCAGGGCGGGTCCTTCCGGAGGCCCCAGGGGAGGAGCGTGTCCCGCCTCCTCCAGCTTCCAGAGGCGCCGCGTCCTGGGCTCGGGGCCCCTTCCTCCGGCCGCACGGCCAGCAGCGCAGCGTCTCCATCTCGGCCTCTGACCCTGGGATGACCCTGGGCCCCGGGAATCCAGTGTCACCCCTATCCCAGGGGCCTCGACTTAACCCATCTGCAGAGTCCCCTCTGCCCCGTGAGGTGACACGTCCACGGGTCTCAGGATTGGGATGGGGACGTCTTTGGGACCATTATTCTGCCGACCCCCGTGCTCAGTGATCTCCCCCCCTCCCCAGGGCGGAGCAGCTGGCCAGTCTGGAGGCGGCCCAGCGGGCCCTGGGGACGGGGCCCGGCGCCACAGCGGCCTCCAACACGCGGGCCGAGTTCTGGCGGCTGCGGGGTCTTCGTCGGGGCGCCAAGAGGACGACCCAGCGGAGCCGAGAGGACCTGTCTGCTCTGACCAAGCAGGGTCACTACCCACCGTACGAACGCGTGGTGCTGAGAGAAGGTGGGCCCCGGGGCGGGAGGAGCTGCGGGGGGCCCCCGAATAAGGTTGTTCGGAAGTAGAGATATAATGCGAGAGCCACACAGAGGATCTGGAAGAGAAGTCGTTGGAAATTATTTTATTTTATTTAACATCCTCTAGTCAAAGTATCTGAGCAGGTAACCCATAGGAAAATGATGGAGGAGCCAGTTCACGTTCTTTGGTTTTGTTGTGAGTCTTTGAGGTCTGGTGTGTATTTTGCACCCAGAGTGCGTCTCCCATCAGACGAGCCACATTTCAAGTGCTCGACAGTCACACGTGGCCACGTGGCGGCCACACCGGACAGCACAGCGGGAGGCGTTCTATCTTTAGTGGGTGCTGCTGTTTCTAGGTTGTCAGCTGGAGGTAAATAGATGCCCTTAGAGATACACACTCACCCGTGGTCAGGTGTTCAGACCAAAATGTGTCCACGCATCTTCACAGCAGCATGATTCACGGTAGGCAAAAAGCGGAAACAACCCAAGTGTCCATTAGCTGATGAGTGGATCCACACAATATGGTCCATCCATGGAATATTACGCAGCCGTGAAGAGGAGCGAGGCCCTGACACGGCTGCACATGGACGGACCTGCACACACGACACTCAGGGAGAGAAGCAGACACAGAAGGACACACGGCGTGTGACCCCATAGACGGGAAACGTCCAGAACAGGCCGATCCACAGACAGAGATTGGGCTCGTGGGGGCCAGGGGGTGGGAGTCACTGCTGATGGGGACGGGGTTTTTTTGGAGGGTGATGGAATGTTCTGGACTAGTCATGCTAGTTGCACAACATTATGAGTGACCTAAATGCCACAGAATTGTCCACTTGACAATGTACAGGTTGAAAAAGGAAATTTCGTGCATGCGTATTTTGCCGCTGTTTAAAAATGAAACCAGCACACAGATGCCGTCCCTCTCTGGGAGTGGGGGCGGGGCCGGGGAGCAGGCTCTTCTGGATTTCCAGAAGGAAAGAGACTCAGCGCTCGCCCACGGCCTCGGGGAGGAAAGATTAAGGCCAGGTGCAGAGGGAGGGCTTCCACAAGGAAGGGCGGAAAAAACGGGCAGAGCCAGGCGCCCGGGCGGGGAGGGCTGATCTGCTCTCTTCCGCTGGGGCTCCGGCGTCCAGACGAGAAAGACTTAAGAATAAAAGGCATGTGCTTAATTTCCACCCCAGCCGAGGAGACTTTAGAAATCTGACTGTCTCGCGCTTTCAGAGCGAGAGCCAGGCCTAGAAAGAGAGGAAGGGAAGGGATGATGCAGAGGGGCCACTCGCCTCCCTCCCTTCAAGATGCCTCTGCGCCCTTTTCCTCGTGGGTAAAAGGGTCATCGGCTAGGCCAGGGGTCAGCAACTCCTCCTGGAAAGGGCCACACAGTAGCTATTTTTGGTTTTTTGGGTCCGATGGTTTCTGTTGAAACTCCTCAAATCTGCACGAAGGCAGCCAGACATGGTCCATAAAGGAATGGACATGACTGAGTGCCAATAAAGCTTTATTTACAAACACAAGCAGTGGGCCGGATGTGGCCCTCAGGTTGTGGTTTGCTGAGCCCTGAGTTAGCGAGGTTCGATCACTCTAACAGACCCCAAGTGACAGCTGCAGAATCAAAAAAGAAGTTTCTGTTTCGAGGAACAGTCCCGGTGTCAGCAGCGGAGCAGGTTCTGGCTGCTTCACGGTTTCAGTGCCCCAGGCTCCTTCTGTCTCGTTTTTCTGGCTTACTGTGTGGTCCAAGGAGGTGCACCCACAGCCACATTCCAACCAGCTGGAAGGGGAAGGAAGGCAAGGAGGGCCCGCCCCTTTCCTGGAAGGATGTAACCCAGAATTGCATATATCAATTCTGCTTGCACCCCATTGGCCAGAACATAGTCACATGGCCATCCCTAGCTGCAAGGGAGGCTGGGAGATATAGTCTTTAGCTGGGCAGCCATGGGCAAGATGCTCAGCCCTTTCCTCAAAGGTTATAACCCAGGATTGCATACAATTCTGCTTGCACCCCATTGGCCAGAACTTAATCACACGGCCATCCTTAGCTGCAAAGGAGGCTGGGAGATGTAGTCTTTAGCTGGGCAGCCATGGGCAAGATGCTCACCCCTTTCCTTGAAGGATACAACCCAGAATTGCATATATTAATTCTGCTTGCACCCCATTGGCCAGAATATAGTCACATGGCCAGTCCTAGCTGCAAGGGAGGCTGGGAGATGTAGTCTTTAGCTGGGCAGCCATGGGCAAATGCTAGCCTTCTTTGCCACAAATAAGGCCGTGATTCTTGTCATTGTCTCTCTGTCCCTCAGCCAGCTTCAAGCGCCCCGTGGTGATCCTGGGACCCGTGGCAGACATCGCTATGCAGAAGCTGACTGCTGAGATGCCTGACGAGTTTGAAATCGCAGGTGAGAAACCAGGTCCTTTGGCCACCTCGAGGGAGAATCATTTCACAACCCTTTCCGAGCCCCTGGGGCTGGCACAGCTTGAGGAGGGGGCTGCTAATGAGGCGACTTGCGGGAAAGAGTTGAAACAACCATGGCAAATGCAAGGCAGAGGAGCCACCCTCCAATTCCCCAGGCCAGACATCCTCAATCAATCCTGGCACTGTCTGGACCGACCCTCAGAATCCTTCTTAACACAGTTCGCCAGCAGCCATCGCCAGTTGAGCCGATGTGCCACCTGTTCCTTCTCTTGTTCAAGAGATGTTTACTGAGCTACAGACACAGTGTCGAACAAGACACACAAGGTCCCCCCAGGAGACCAAAAATTAACAACTACACAAACAATTCATCCAGAGGAGGGGTCAGCAAATGACAGCTCCCGGGCCACAGCTGGCCCACGGCTGTCCTTGGACGGCCCGCTGACTGAGAATGGTGTTCACACACTTTTGACGGTGGAAAAGGAGTTCGTGATGAAACATGATGCGACACGTGACGGGGACGTGAAATGCGAATGTCAGCGCCTGTCAATAAAGTTTTATCGGCACACGGCCACGCCCACTGGGGGGAGAAGATGAGAGAGGGGGACAAGGACAGACGGTGAGAGGGGCGGCGGCACAGCGTCCTAAAGCTGAGGGTCTCGGGCCTCGCCCGCCTTCCAGAGGCTTCTCCAGAAGTGGAGGCAGGGGCAGGTCAATGTCAACCGCAGTCAGATGCCACGTCCCACCCGGCAGGACAGGGTGGCCCTGGGACACGAAACAGCGTCTGTGAAGACCGGGAGAAGTCGGCCCCTCGTGTGTGGCTGGCGGGAGTGGAAGGCGGGCTGAGGGTCCTCGACAAGGGAGACGTTGAGTTCACCACGTGGTCCAGCAACCCCGCTCCTGCGCCTCCACCCCCCTCAAAAGCGGGGGCCCCAAGAGATGTGTGTGCACCCGTGTCCGCGGCAGCGTGAGTCACAGCGGCCTGAAGCAGAGGCAACCCGGGTGTCCGTGGATGGGGGACAGACGCACACAGTCTGTCCATCTACACCCTGGAATATTATGCAGCCGTGAAAAGGAAGGAGAGCCTGACGCCTGCTCCCACGTGGACGGACCTGGAGGACGTGATGCTCAGGGACATGAGCCAGACACAGAGGGACACACTGTGTGGACCACTCACAGGAGGTCCCCAGAGGAGCCACATCCACAGAGACAGAAAGTGGATGGGGGGCCAGGGGCTGGGGGAGGGGTGGGAGTCAGTGTTTCATGGGGACAGAGCTTCAGTTTGGGGAGATGGAAAGTTCTGGAGACAGATGGAGGGGATGGTGGCACAACCGTGTGAATGTGCTTCATGCCGCTGAGCTGTGTGCTTAAAATGGTAAATTTTATGTAATGTGTGTTTTACCACAATGTAAAAAATAGGCCAGGCTGTGTCCCCCTGGGTTGTGGGCCCGGGGGCAGGGCCATCAGGAGGGCTTCCTGGAGGAGGCGTGGCAGCATCCCAGGTCCTGGAGGACAGAGGGGGCCGGGAGAGCCACTTCCCTTGGGTCACAGCCCGAGCACAGGCCCCGAGTCCGGCCGAGCCCAGGACAGCGGGTGGCTGGAGCAGACTGTGCTCAGGCCCCAACCCTGAGCAGGTGACCCTATGTCCCCGAGACTCAGTTTCCCCATCTGCCAGATGGGCCAGCGACAGGAGGAGTGCGGGCGAGTCGGGGTGGGGGAGGGTGGTGCTCCGTCCATCCGGCCGAGGGGAGCCCCGGCGGTTCTGTGGGGGGAGCGGCGGGAGGACGCGATCTGAGGGCTGCGCCGCCCCTCCCCCCGCAGAGAGCGTGTCGAGGACGGACAGCCCCTCGAAGGTCATCAAGCTGGACACCGTGCGGGTCATCGCCGAGAAGGTAAGACGGCTGCGCGGCGGGTCCCGTTTCCCGGCTGGGGAAACCGAGGCCCAGGTGGTCTCCCACAGAGCCCCCTCTTGGAGGGAGGCCTGGTGATGGGGGCGGGGGGCTCGAGAGGGACAGAGCCCGCCCGGAGCCCCGCAGCCGCAAACCCCGGGAAGAGGCAGAGAGACTCAGACTGGGGCTCCGGGGCCCAGGACGCTGCGGGTGTGTGAGAGGCTGGGGTCCACTCTGACCGCAGACTCGTCCTCTCCCTCTCTCTCTCGGCTTCGTCCCGCTGTCTGTTCCGGCCTGTGCAGGACAAGCACGCGCTCCTGGACGTGACCCCCTCGGCCATCGAGCGCCTCAACTACGTGCAATACTACCCGATCGTCGTCTTCTGCGTCCCCGAGAGCCGCGCGGCCCTCAAGGCGCTGCGCCGGTGGCTGGCCCCCGCCTCCCGCCGCAGCACGCGCCGCCTCTACGCGCAGGCGCAGAAGCTGCGCAAGCATAGCGACCACCTGTTCACAGGTGGGGCGGGGCCTGGGGGTCCGGGGTCCGGGCTGGGGGGCGGGGCCTGGGTCTCGGCGCTCACGACCCCGCCCCGCAGCCACCGTCCCCCTGCGCGGCACGAGCGACGCCTGGTTCCAGGAGCTCAAGGGCATCATCCGCGAGCAGCAGACGCGGCCCATCTGGACGGCCGAGGACCAGGTGACACGGCCGGGGCGGGGTCACGACCTGGTGCCCGGGGCGAGGTCGGTTCGGGGCCGGCCTCAGCCTGGAGTTGGGCAAGGTCAAGGTCAGACTCCTGGGGGTCAAGGGTTAAGCCTCAAGCTGAGGCCTGGGCGTCCGGGGTGACCCTGGGGTTGAGGGTGAGGGTCTTGACCCGGTCGGGCCGGGGGTCCACTCAGCCAGACCCCCCCGGCCCCGCAGCTGGACGGCTCCTCCGACGACAACCTGGACCTCCCGCTGCGCGGCCTGGGCGACAGCTCGGCGGACCTGAGCTGCGACAGCCGGGTCAACAGCGACTACGAGACGGACGGCGAGGGCGGCGTCTACACGGACGGCGTCTACACAGACGGCGACTACACGGACGGCGAGGGTGGGCGGCACACGGACGGGGACGAGGAGCCCCCCGTGCCGGCCCTGGCTCGGTCCTCGGAGCCCGTGCTGGCGGACGAGCCCCCGAGCCCGCGGGGTCACCGGGCGGCCCAGGTGAGCAGGGCACGCGGGGCGGGGACACCCGGGGACCCGCCTTCCACCAGATGCCTGGGAACCGAAGCCTCTCTGATCAGATCTGAGTCACTGAGCAACTTCGGGGAAATGCTGTGCCCTCCGGGCCTGAGTTTCCGTGTCCGGGACACGGGCCAGGTGATCAAATCTGGACGCCACTGGGTGGTTGTTCGAACTCAGGTCCCCGCCCATGGTGGCCCGTGTGTAACAAGTATTTCCTCAGCTCTCATTCCCGTGGGGCCACCTCAGCCCCCCCCAACCCGGCTGTGCATTCAGGGAAGGCCCCCTCCCTCCGGACCCTCTGGGTCCGCGTGGAAACGTGCAGATCCATGAGGTCTGCCGTCACAGTGGTGCTCCTGGGGTTGTGCAGTGCCCGACCTGCTCAACTGTCCGTGGCAGCCTGGCAGTCTTCTAAGCACTTTACACACGTGAACTCATTTACAGACTCCTGACGACAGCCATCTGAGGAACTTTCCAGAAGGGGAACCCAATTCCCCCTTTGCTGACGGGCCAGGAGCTCAGCCATGGCCTTCCCCTGTCCCCCCACTTCCTCACTTCAAATCAGGGATGGGTTTCGGACTCGCATGGGGACAAGGGGGACGGGGGGAACATTCATCCCGATTTGTCATCCTTTTGCGGGAAGGGTTAACTGCTTTTCTCTGGCTCCAAGGTGGACAGCCGCCACGTGCAGGCTCCGAGGCGACAGGACAGCATGCGGTAAGGGCCCCTGGGCCCCACACTGGGGCCTCAACCATTTCCCGGGACTCAGGCTTCCGGGGTTAGCAAACCCTAGAATGAAGCCACGCCTTCATGGTGCTCCTGGCCAAGCGGGCAGGACAGAGCCGCTCTGGGCCCATGGAGCTGGGGCCATGGGGAGTAGGGACCCTCTTCCTGAGAGGATCGTGAAGCCTTCCTGAAGGCCAGGGCACTGCAGCTGGGGCTTTGAAAGATGTGTAGGAGTTCGTTAACAAGACCCCACCCCCAAGTGCCCAGTCTTGTTTGTGCTGTCTACACCCGAGGTGCCTCCCACAGAGCAACCTCAGTTAATGGTAGGGACGCTCCCGCCCTCCCCACCTGCAGCCCCTCTTCCATTTCCTGCTCCCCAGGATGTATGAGCAGGAAGCTTTGCGGAAGAAGTTCACACGAGCGCGAGACGTGGAGTCCTCCGATGAAGAAGGCTACGCCTGGGGCCCGGCCACCGATCTGTGACCCCTCCCTGGAGCTGGGCCTCAGTTTCCCATCCAGGACCCGGACCCCTGCCTCCTTCCCCGTGGTGTTTAATAAATGGAGTATTTTCGCAGCTGCGGCTTCTAGTGGCTTCCGGGAAGGACCCGGGGCAGAGGCGGGGCCTGGTCTCGACCCCACAGACTGCGATCTGAGCTCTTACCCGTTCGATAAACATTTAATTTTTTACATCCGACATAACGGAGGGCTGGGGGTCCCGGGGGCCCGGCCACCACGGAAGGTTCCGGGCGGGGGGCTAAGGCACAGCGGTGGCAGCGACGGCGGCCGTCACAGGTACACGGGCTGCTCCTGGCCGGTGAGCAGGCGGTAGGTGGCGACCGGCATGGTCTTGATGTGGACCTGGGGGAGAGGGCGGGCGGCTGGGCGGGGGCTGGGGGCGGGCGGTCCCCCTTGTCCCCCGCGCCCCGCACCTCCACGTGCGCCTCGGTGAGCAGCTCGATGATGCGCGCGTGCGGCGTGGCGACCACGCTCTGCCCGTTGATCTCGATGATGCGGTGGCCCACGCGGACGCCCCCGCGCTCGGCGATGCCCCCGCGCAGAAGGCTGCAGATCTGTGGGGACAGGACGTGGTGGCTGCGGGGGCCGAGCGACGGGCCGCCCGCCCACCCACCTGTCCCCTGCCACCCCGGGCCGGGGCTCACGATGCCATCCTCCACGCAGAAGCCCAGCTGCTCGCGGGCGTGCGGCCGGCGGATGATGGCCGTGGTGACCGGCGGGCAATGCACGATGCTCAGGGTCACCAGCGTCTGCGACTTCACCTCCTGCCGGGGGCACGGGGGCCGCTGGCCTAGCTGGGCCCATGGGGGCTGCCGGACCGACCTCCTGGCAAGCTGCAGCCCCTGCTGGGCCTCAGTTTACCCACCCATCAGATGGAACCTGCCGTCCAGGCCCTAGATTCTGGGAGGCCCCTCGAGGGGCGGGGCTGTGTGACCTCTCTCCTCCCCAGGCCTCAGTTTCCCCTGAGTGCCCACGTGCAGGCAGGACTTCATATTCCATGCTGTCCCTTTGGGGACGGTTGGTGGGAGGGGACCACCGAGGGGACGTGGGGAGGTGGGGCCCCGGGGGACTCACGCGGACGGCGGCCTGGCAGGCGGCCAGGGGCAGCCCCACCAGGCTGGCCCCGTTGATGGCGGTCAGGCGGTCCCCGATGCTCAGGGCGCCCGAGCGCTCGGCTGGGCCGCCGTGCAGCAGGTTGGCGATGACGGCCGTGGGCAGCAGCGACCCCCAGCCCGACTCCACCAGAGCCACGCCCAGGGCCTCGCCGCGCCGCTTCTCGATGCACACCTGCGGGGCACGCGGGCACGGCGTCGGTGCACCCCGGGGGCGGGGGACACACGGCAGGCAGGGGGCCGCCGCTGCCCGCTCACCTCCCTGCAGTTGTCACTGTTGGAGAAGTGATCCAGGTCCCCGTTGTGCAGGTGGCCCGGGCCCACGGCCCCCTGGCCCTGCCGCGCGGCCACCTGGCCGGGGTCCAGGCCGCTGTCGCGCAGGAACTGGCTGTAGGCCACCGCGAAGGCCTGGCCGATGGCCTGGGCGATGAGCTGGGCCTGCGGGCACGGGGGACGTCTCAGGGGGGCCGCCCGCCTCCTCCAGGTCCCCCCCAGCCTCCCGGCGTCCTTGGCGCTGAGCCCTTGCGCCCCCCGGGGACGGGATTCCCCAGAAACGGTGCTCTCGGGGCGTCGGGGATGCCAGCCGCTGTCTCAGGACTCTATGGGGGGGGACCAGGGGGGCGGGCGGGGGGGTGGCCGGGCCCGGCGCTCACGTCGTCGGCGCGGAAGACGTGGCACAGCATCTTGCAGAGCCGCGGGCCGCCCGCCGGGGGTGGGGGCCGCCGTGCCCGCCGCCGCGCCATGAGCACCAGGATGCTGCCAATGTCGGCAATGTAGGAGATAGTCTGCAGCGCGTGGTCCATCATGGCCTCCTGCACGGGCGACACGGGGCCTGGGCGGGCTGCGAGGTCCCGGCGGAGCCCCCCCACCCCTGACCCGACGCCGGCCCGGCCCCTACCTGGGAGTCGGCCGTCAGGACCTTGACCCGCTTGGTGGAGACGAAGAGGTCCACGTCCGTCATGGGCTGCGTCTCCCCGTCGGGGGCCTGTGGGCACGGGGGACGTGGAGGCCCCCGAGGACCTGGCCACTGCCCCCCCAGGCGGCCACCCCCCTGCCCGGCGACCCTGGGGAGCTCCGTGGCCCGGCGCGGCCTCACCTTGACGCGGTCCACGGCCTCCTGGGCCTGTGCCATGCGCGCGCTGGGCGGCGGGTTCCGCGGGGACAGCAGCTGCGTGGAGCCCAGGTACTTGGCCGCGAAGATGACACCGTCCAGGAGGTCCTCGTAGTCACAGGGTCCAGGCGCTGCAGCAACGGGGACGACGGTCAGCCCCGAGGGCCCCCAGGCTCCGCCGCCCCCGCCGGCTCTGCCCCGAGGCACCGAGCTCCAGCCCGTGGGGCTGACCGTCCTGAAGCGCACGGGGCCATCCCCGGTCCCCACCACGCCCTCAGCTTGGCCCTCACAGCTCCAGAACCTTCCATCAGTCTGGAGCCGGCTCTGCCCACGGCTCCAGGGCCCCCAGGCAGAGGACCCGGTTTCAAGAGCGGCTGTGAGTCCAGAATGACGGCCAGATCCAGAAACAGCTCCAGCGCTCACCCCCCCCCCCCCCCCCGCCCCGGGCTTCTAGAATCCCGTGATCAGCCTAGAACCAGACGGCCCCACTCTCGTTCCTAAAACGTGCAGCGTTACAGGACTATGGTCAACGCCACCAGATGGTTCTGGAATTCTCCTAATCAATCTAGAACTAGTCTACTTGACCCGTTTTTTCTAGAATTCTCTCTAATCAGCCCAGGACCACAGGCAACTCGGCTCCGTGGTCACGAAAACGCCCGATCAGAGCAGAAAGAAGTAACTGTTCTGTCTCTATCACTCTCATGCTGTCCAGACCCCAGATGGCTCCAAGCCACGATTCTAGAACTCTCCGACAGGTCTCAAACTAAACCCGCCAGGGGTTCTAGATGCCTAGATGACTCTAGAACCACAGGCTTCTCCCTTCCACGATTCTAGAACTTCTGAATCATGACAGCATCACGTAGCTCGTCCCAAGGTTCTAGAATATCCTCAAATAGCTTGTGACCCCAGCTGCCCCCGGGGGTTCTAGAATTATCTGAACAGTCCAGAAACACACAGCTCTCCTCAATGGTCTCAAATTCCCCCCAACCCAGCCCAGAATCACACACAGCTTTGCCCCCTGGCTCCCGAATTCCCTGAGCCACCTAGAACCAGATGGCACTGCAACGGTTCTAGAAAGTTCTAAGCCATACCTACTGCTGCTTGGTTTAGAACCACAGGGACAGGCCCCCAGTCGTGGAGGCTCTAAGTGAATTTAAGTACAGCCAGCTCTGCCCGGTGTCCCCCACGAGCTGAGCGTTCCGGAACGGCAGGCAACTCGGCCCTGGGGTTCTGGAATTGGGCTAACGTGGCAGCCACCAGGCACCAGGGGACACCGTGCACTTGACATGTGACTGGTCCAGACTGACATGTACCGTAGATGCAAAGTGCAATTCAATTTTGAAGACTTAGTGTAAAAAAACGTGAAATAATTATAAGATGCTAACTAGATGTTGAAATAATGTTTTCAAGACATCGAGTGAACTAAAATACACCATTAAAGGTAATCTTCCCTGTTTTATTTTGAACGGGGATAACCAGGAAGTTTAAAATCACATATGGCTCACATTACTTTCCCACTGTATGGCACAGTTCTAGAACCTTCTGATTCCTCTAGAATCAGAGGGCCCTGCCTCAAGTTCTAGAACACCCCTTGCTGGTCTAGAACCGCAGACGACCTCCATCCGCTGTGGTTCTAGATCGCCTGCCTCTGAGCAGAACCAGGCGGCTCTGGCCAGCATTCCAGATCATTCTCCAGCCCGGGTTCCTTTAATCTAGAACCACAAGCAGAGTGCCCAGTTCTAGAACTCCCGAGGTCAGCCACAGCTCCACCCACGAGTCCAGAACCTTCGTGGACCTACAGGCCCAGACCAGCTCCCCTCCCCACAACCACAGAACTTGCTCTTTGACCTATGGCCTCTAGTAGTTTTGGGGGACATTCTAGAACATCCCAAATGGCCAGAACTGGTTCTTTCAATCCTTTAAGGCAGAGATTGGCAAACTGTTTCGGCAAAGGGCCAAAGAGTAAGTATTTCTGTCCTTGTGGGCCAGATGGTCTCCGTTGCAACCTGACTGTTCTGACACAAAGGCCGCCAGAGACGACGACACACCAACGCGTGGACGTGACCGTGGTCCACTCTATCTGCGGACCCCGACATCCCAACCGCGTCCCATCTTTACGTGCCAAGAACTCTTCTCCTTTTGGATTCTTTTCTAGCCCTTTCAAAACGCACAGGCCACCCTCGGTTCCAGATCTGATGTGCCACCAACCCCCAGGCCTGCCCTGCCCCCTCGGCTCCTTCCAGAACATTCTCCCGACTGTCTCTGCTCTCCCAGGCCGCGTGGAATCCACTCGAAAGCAACCTCTGAGCCTCATCTGGAAGCAACTCCTGACGGGCAAAGCTCTGGGGCAGATCCGGGAGCCCGAGTTGGCTGCTCTGACCCACCCCCCACCCCCTGGGCCCGGGCGGGCAGGGTACTCACCCTCCTGGAGGGCAGGGCGGGACGCAGGGGACGCCGGGGTGGCCGGGCTCTGCAAGGAGACGAAGAGGGCGGCCTGAGTCCCGGGCTCGGCCAGCAGCAGAGGCGCCCGGGACCGGGCAGGCTGTACCTGGGCGCCGGTGGGTGGCCCTGCAGGAGCCACCAAGGGCACAGTCTCCAGCCAGGGCTCCGGGGAGCTGCTGGAGCTCCTGCTGCCCCCCTGCTCGGCAGAAGCTCCCTCTGCCCACTCCGGGGGGCCGCTCTCCTCCTCCGGGTCCTCGGGGGGCTGCAGAAGGTGGGGAGCAGGGTCCGGGGGCTCCTCGGGATACGACCGGGAAGGAACGGCCTCCTCGAGGCGCAGAAGGCTCAGCAGGTCGTCCCGGCCGGCCTCGGCCGACAGGAGCCCGTGGGCATCGGCGACGTCCTGGGGGGCCAGGCCATGGCCGGTGGCGATGTGCAGGGGGCAGGGGGGGCCATCCGGGGACAGGCCCCCCAGGTCACCCGGCAGGGCCTCAAACTGCTGCACGAGGTCCTCGACACTCGGCCCGTCCAGTTCCATGTGACTCAGGCTGCCGGGGCCTCCGGGCGCCGGGGCCCACTGGAGGTCACGGGGGGCGTCCTGAGAGGGTGAGAGCGAGCCCCCGGGCTCCTCCAAGTCCATGGCCGGAGGCACAGGCGGGGGGCGGGGCGGCGTCAGGAATTCCATCCTGGACCCCAGGCCGAGGCCGGCATCTGAGAGATTCGAAGGGTCGGTTTCCCGGGGGCTAATTTGGTGCTGTCGCCGGGCGCTGCGCACACAGAACACGGGATTTAATCCTCGCCATACCCTGCAGGGAACGGCCTGCCCCGATCCCCGTTTTACAGTCGAGGAAACTGAGGCACAGAATGAGCAGGGGTAAGGCAGTGGCTTCCCGGGGCTCCAAACCCCGACGACTCCCCGGTCCCTGTCACCCCAGCCCCGGTTCTTCCAAGTCCTCCTCCCCCGCAACGTGGGGCCCAGGCTGGAGACACACCCCGACCCCAGAGACCCCAGAGACCCCGGACTCAAGACCCCAGACTTTAGACTCAGGGCCCCAGACTTAATCGTAGAGATCCGAGACGCCAGAAAACAGACCCTCACCTGCCACCTCCGAAGCCACGGCCCGGGTCAACTCCAGACCCCGACCCCGACCCCAGAACCCAGGCTGAGGACGGACCCCGAGCCTAAAGCTCAAAGTTCAGACCCCAGCGCTCACGCAGACCCCACGCTCAAGACTTCAGACCTCTGGCCCCAGGCACCGCCCCAGACCCCGCTCTGTCCCGCGGGGACACTCACTTCTCAAACCGAGGTGGTCCCAGCGCGCGCGGACCCCAGGACCCAGCGTCCAGGGTCCGCCCTGTTCGTTCCAGCCGCCGCCGCTCGCCGCTTCCCTGGCCCACTGGGCATGCGCACGCTCGCGGGGTCTGCTGGGAAATGTAGTTCTTCCAGCCAGACTCGCCGCGCGGGGGCGCTAGGTGTACGCACGCCGGTTCGAATCCCCGGCCTGCATCCATGCACCGTGGGCGCATGGGCTGGCCTCTGGGCGTGTTTCCTCAACTGCAGAATGGGATTCATAATCACTGCCCGCCTCCGACGGCGGCGGCATTCTCCCAAGGGATGACGGCTGGGTAGGAATGGGACTGGGAAATACTGAAGGAGGGAGAGGCGGTCTCTTTGGACTCCGGGGAAACCGGAAGCAGCGCGGGGACCCTATTGTAGATGGACTTCCGGTTTGGCTTGTATTAAGGAGGCCGAATAACGCCTCCCGGCTTGACTTTATCTCCCTGAGCGTCGGCTCCGATTGCAAACGGGGGATAATAATAGTACCCGCCTCCTAATTGTGAGGATTAGAGAGGAAGCTGGCTAAGGATTTAGCAGGAGGGCCGGAATATAATGAATCCAACACGTGTGAGCTGTTTATTACTTTTAGGTTTCCGGTAATTTTCCTCAAATAGAATCAGGAATGTACAAGGTGCGATCTTTGGGGTAAATGACCAGTAACTGAAGAAGGACAAGAAGTCAATGAAACACCCTTTGAAAGTCGCCTCATACAGTAACGGGATATCTATAAAAGTTTAGAGAAGTCACGATGAATGTACACCTGAGGCTGGAATACTACATTTCCCAGAAGTCTCTAAGAGCCTACAACTCCCAAGGGCCCCTTGGCCGCTGACGTCTCCCGGAAGCGAGCACGTGCGGGCAGCCAGCATACGTCATGGCGGCCAGACGCCTCTTCGGAGCTGCCCGGACCTGGGCCGGCTGGCCGGCGCGGCAGCTCCCGGATCCCGCCGATTCAGGAAGACTCCTTGTACGGGATTATGCCAAGAAAGCGGGTGAGCTGCGTTAAGAGGGACCGAGATAAGCACGGCGGGGACATTGGGGAGTTGCTAGTGCGCAGGCGCTGGTTGCGCAGGTGGGTCCTAGCATCAGTGCGCAAGCGTGCAGAGGCCGACGCTAGGCTTTACGCGCATGCGCAGTTTGAGGGACCCGCGGGCGCGAGTCGTGAAGCCGAGCGGCCAGTGAGGAGGGTGTGGGTTACGTGGAGCACATGCGCTTCACTGCGCAGGCGCAGAGTTGTTTTTTTTTTTGGAGGCGGGGTCAGAGAAGGTCATGAACTTGAATTCTCAGCCTGTTTCTGCCCCCTAATCACAGTGTGACCTTGGGCAAGTCACCACCGGAAATTCGAGAAGGCAGTGGGCTCCATCTAAGGATTAACCACTTAAGCAAAAGCGAACAAAGTGATTTAAAGTTTAGCTGGATACAGCCTTGCCTGATCTCCTTGTGGCGAGGCGGGAATTGACAAATGTTCGGCCTTAAAGCCGCGTGGCAGCGTTTTCTCCGCGCCATAGACAGAAGGACTCGAAATGGAGCTGCAGAGCAGTGGCTCGGTCACTCTTGAAGTCGTTCTGAGGGCCGCAGCCAGGGTCCAGCCAGGCCCCCGGGGAGGGGGCAGCCGGGGGAGGAGGGCGGGGCTGGGCGGGGCTGGGCTGAGCCGACTCTCCCCACCCGCCCGCCCGCCCGGCCGCAGTCGTTAAGGGGGGTCGAGGCGGCAAAGGCGCGGTCAGCGAGGCCCTGAAGGACCCGGAGGTGTGCACGGACCCGGTGCGGCTCAGCACGCACGCCATGGGCGTCAACATCTACAAGGACGGGCCCGACGTGGCGCTCAGGCCGGACGCCGAGTACCCCGAGTGGTGAGTGGCCAGGCGGCGTCCTCCCAGGTCATCGGGACGCCCTGGGGGGTCGGGGGGTAGCCGGGGGGCCTCATATGACTGGGGTTACGCCTCCGTCAGAGGGTCGTGAGGAGTTAGTGAGATCAGGATGCCTGCGAACTGCATCCAGCAGCGTCCTTTGTTTTAAACAAGCATTTATTAAGCGCTTACTGTTTGCCAGGCCCTGTCCTAGGTGCTGGGGACACAAAAGGGCACAGAACAGGCCAGAGTCCCTGGTGACGGGTGAGGGGGGCCTGGCTGATCCAATCTGAGGTTTCACGGGTCAGCCCCCCCCCCCCCCCCCCGGGGAGGTGAGGCCAGAGTCAGCACCTGAGTGGGTGGGGGGAGCTTCAGAGGCAGGCGGAGGGAACAGCCCGTGCAAAGGGCCTGGGGCCGCACTGCCCCTGGCTAGTCAGTGGAATGGCTGGGAGCCGAGGTGGAGAGCCGGGGAGACGGGGCAGGGAGGGGACGGAGCCCAGCCCCCTAGGGCCCAGGGGGCTACAGGAGGGATTTTGCTTTTGGCCGCGAGAGCCAGGCATGCGGGCCACCGACGTGGGCTGATCCTTAGAGCCGGGGAAGGTTCAGAGAGGTCGAGCGAGTGGCCGGGGAGGCGTCACAGCACAGCCAGTGGCCCGGGGGCAGGAGAGGGCTTGTGTGTCCCCCTGGGATCCTAGTGCCGTCGGGAAGGGGGGGGGACCGCCCTGAGCCCCGCCCGCGCCCCGCCAGGCTGTTCCAGATGAACTTGGGCCCCCCCAAGACGCTGGAGGAGCTGGACCCCGAGACCCGCGAGTACTGGCGGCTGCTGCGCAAGCACAACATCTGGCGCCACAACCGGCTCAGCAAGAACCAGAAGTTCTAGAGGGCGGGTCGCCCGAGCCCAGGCCGCGAGGACCCCGAGGGACCCCCGAGGGCGCGGCTCCCACCATCCCGCCCCCGAGGGAGACTGTCTTTCCGGGAGAAACAGCCTTTTCCATGAACGGAGCCTCCCCCGGCTCCCGTGTGCGCCCCTCAGCGAGGCTGGATCAGGGCCGGGCTGGGGGGGGATAAAGACCCCGGGCCGGTCCTTGGGGGGGGTGGTCTGACAGCGCCCGGAGGGGGAGGGACGCCAGCGGGGAGGGGCCCCAGCTGCCACCCCCTGCTGAGCCTCTGCGGGCCATCCTCACCTCCAGGCAGAACTGGATTTCTTGTCTGGATTCTTGAATTCTTCGCCCTGTGCAACGGGCCCCACCTCAGTCCTCGAGGGCCGGATTTTTCTAGCCAAGCCTCTGGGTTGCCAGGGGATCAACCCCACGCAGGCCACCCGAAGCCGAAGAGCATGAGCTTCAGGAACTGAGATGTCCGGGAGTGGCTTTGGCTTCAGGCAGGGGTGGATCCAGGTGCTTCAGTATCCGGATATGTGTCTCTGTCTATCTCTGAGTCCTTTCAGCCTCCAGTGGGTAGTTCTCCCCGGCAGAGTTGACTCCATCCTAACCCATTTCAGCAAGGACTTTCCTTCCTGTGAAGGTCACGGGGCTTTCTCCAGGGGCAGTCACTTGAGCCCAGGCAGCTGGGCTGTGGGTCATCCTCCCGTCCATCTGTAGTGGTCGCACTGGTGCTCGGGTCTCAGCTGTCGTGTTGTGCGCCCGCCACCACCCACCCCCCTCGAAACACATCCTGGCGTCTGCATTGGGCACCGAGAATCTGGCCACACACAGCCCAGGGGAGAAGCGCGGCTCCCGCAGCCCCACCTCCTGCCCGGCCTGGCTGCGAGGGCGGGTGTGCGGGGGTCGCAGGGCTGAGGCCTGAGCCCGCGGACTGGAGGGTTGGTGGAGGCCGGCCCGTCACGTTGGGTCTGCAGGCCCCGCCCTCTCCCGGGTAGGCTCCGCCCCCATGGCCATGGCCCCACCCTCTCTGGGTAGGCCCCGCCCCACAGCTGTGGCCCCGCCCTCCACGCCCGTCTGTCTTCTGGCTGGACCAGTGGGGTGGGGGCCTTGCGGCTAATGCCGCCGGGTCCCGAGAAAACGGGAGCCTCATCCGCTTAGGACTCTGCCGAGCGGATTACTGCCCACCTGCTCTGCCTGGTGACCTGCCCTGGGCCGGCAGACAGTCCCAACCCTCCCACGGCTCCCCGTGGCTCTCGGGAGGGGCCAGAGATGTAACAACCATGGGGCCAGGCCCGACCTGCCCCGTCCCCTCCCTGCCCTCTCTCCTCCCTCTGCTCCAGCCACGGGGACCTCCTCGCTGTTCCTCCCAGACGCCAGGCCCGGGCCTGCCCCAGGGCCTTTACACAGGCTGTGCCCTCTGCCTGGGTCGCTCCTCCCCCAGGTGTCCCCATGGCTCCCTCCTTCCTCTCCAGGTCTCTGCTCTGGGGTCACTTTGTCCACGAGGCGTCCCCTGACCGCCTATTAAATTGCAGCCCTGCACGACCAGTTGTCGTCCTGGTTTTATTTTCCCTCTAGGACTTGTCACCAGCTCGCGGTTTGGGTTTTACTTATTTATTTTTTTAATCGTGCTTTTTGTCTCTCCCACTGGAGTGGCAGCTCGGTCAGGACAGGGGTCTTTGTTCTGTTCACCATCCCGTCCCTGTCGCATGTTGGATGAATGATGGATGGGTGGATGGGTTGGCCCGGCAGCTGTAGCGTCACCACGACATGGACCCGGGGCCCGTGTGCTGCCATCTGAGGCTGGAGATGAGCAGGCGGGCTGTGGGCCCCGCGGGTGTGGATGTGGCCTGAGGGCCGGAAGTGAGCCTGTGGTCGCTTCCTGGACGCAGCCCGGAGGGGGCGGGGTGCCGGCCGCTTGCAGCTTCTGCCCCTGTGTCCCCATCCCCCTCCTGCTCTGACCGGGGCTGCCTGTTCCCTGGGGAGACGCCCCGTTGTGCTGGCACCGGTCACACCCCATTCCTTGCCCCCAACAGCCTCGTGTCCTGAGTCCGGCCCGGCCCCGGGCAGGGCGGCCGTCTTGCCCTCATGAGCCCCGGGGAGACACGGCTGGGTTGGCCTCGCTGGGCTGGGGGACGTGACGGGGTCTGTGGTGGGGTGGGGGGACAGAAGCCACACCTGGGTACCTGGAGGGAGCAGGGACGGGCGGTATTCCCCCAGCGTCACCTGCCTCTGCCTGCGTGTCCCCCGTGAGCGCCCGGCAGGGGTCCCACCGCTTCGCACGCCCCCAGGGACCCAGCGCCGTGCCTGGCGGGACGGGGTCAGCAACGAGTTTGGAAACGGCTCCGTCCACTCCCGGCCGTGCGACCTCAGGAACCTGGGTGGGAGATGAGCAGGGGGCACTCAGAGAATCAGCGTCCCGTGGCTCCTGAGGCCCCAGGAGGGGCAGAGGGTGCCCCGAGGCCAGCCGCGGGTGGGGGACCCGGCGCGGGAGGCCACTGACGGACAGGGAGGGTGGGACGCGGAGGCCCCAAGCCTTGCTCTGCAGCAGCGGTCTGGTCTGGTGGCCGGGCCGCTCTGTGACCAGGCTGTGGCCGCTGTCCCCGGGAGGTCGCAGGCCCTGGTGACAGGGCGGACGGCTCAGGCCGGGGGCCAGGCCCTGTCCAGCGCCTGCGCGTGCTCCTTGGCCAGCAGCCGCAGCGACGCCTCCTCCAGCGCGAAGCCGTCCGAGAAGGCGGGCCCGAAGGCGTGGGGCGCGAAGGTCGCCTGCAGCCCGGGGCCGGGGCCCAGGAGGCGCGGCAGGCCCGGCCCGGCAGGGGGCCCGGGGCCCAGCCAGGGCTCCAGGGGCAGCGGCACGGCCGGAGGGCGGGCGAACGGCAGGGCTGGGGCCTCGGGGAGCCTCGGGGCTGCCACGGCCCCGGAGCCGGACTCCAGACGCTCCTGGCGGCGCCACTTGGCCCGGCGGTTCTGGAACCACACCTGGAGGCGGCGAGAGGGGTTCTCCCAGCTCAGGGCCATCGGGGCGCAGCCAGGCCACTCTTCCCCACCTGTGGCGTTCCTCCCCACCTCTCAGGGTGCTGCCTGCTGTCTAGCCTGACTCCCTCGTGCTGCAGCGCCTCAAGGACATGGCCATCTTCAGGGCGGGACCCCTGCCGCCTGGCTCCACCGCATCAGCCCCCGAGGCTTTTTGGAATCCAGTCCCTCCTTGCCATTCCCTCTGCCTGGGCCCCCTCGGGCTCCCGGCTCTCAGGCCCCAGGCATGAGGTCCAAGCCACTCGGCTCGGCATTCGAGGCCCTTCACGAGCTCTTTCACAGCCCCATTCTCTGCCTCCCCTTCCACCGCCGCCCAACCAGCTCAGCGGAAACACCTTCAATGTACTGCTGCCACATCTCTGCACAAGCTGTTCTGGATGCCTAGGAAAACGCCCCTTCTCCTTCCCAGCGGCAAACTCCTACTCCAACATCAAGGCCCCAGCCCTGCATCTCCTCCTCCAGGAGGCCTTCCCGGTTTCTCTTCGGGCCACAGCCTGGGAGGGTCCCCGGGTGGCGGGACGCCCTCACCTGCACGCGCACCTCGGGCAGGTGCACCTTGGCTGCCAGCTCCTCGCGGCTGTAAACGTCCGGGTAGTGGGAGGCCTCGAAGGCCCGCTCGAGCTGGTGCAGCTGGTAGGTGGTGAAGGTGGTGCGGTTGCGCCGGTGCTGCTTCTTGGGGGCCTCCTCGCCCGGCCCCGGGGCCCCGCCCTCCGCCGCCGGCCCCTCGCCCGCGCTCAGGAACATGCTCCTCCGCGCCCCCGCCTGGCGGGGCGGCAGCGCCACGGATGGGGTGGGACCGCGGGAGGGACGGCCGGCCGGGCAGGCGGGGAGGGGCCCGCGGTCCTCGTCGGCGTCCCCGTCGACCTCCGACTCTGTCTCCACCTCCTTCCCTGTTGATGCCTCCGCGTCTGGCTCCCTACATCTCTGTCCGTCTGTCTGTCTGTCTGTCTCCCTGTCTGGGACCCAGGACGCAGAGGCTGGGACGCTGCCCCCACAGCTCCCTCCCCCGCCGCCCGCGCAGCGCTCACGGCCAGGCAGCCCCTCCTGGGCCGTGGGATCCGGCGTCCACGGGGCTCCGCCCGGTGGCCCGAGGGGGGGCCCTGGGGAGGATTAGCCCGGTGATTAACTGAGCCTCCCGGGGAGGGCAGCCCGACGGAGGGCTGGGGCCGTGGGGTGGGGGACACGTCAGCCTGGGCCTGCCACCCTCGCTGTAGGACACCAACAAGGGCCCGCTTCTCTGGGCCTCAGTTTCCCTAGCTGTGACACCAGGACTCAGCCCTGGAGCTCTCACGCGGACTCCACACAGTGAATGGTATGCAGTCAGTGCTTACTGAGTGTCCAGTTACGGTTTTTATCAGCTGGGGCCAGAAGAAGGCCCTCTCAGAGTCACAGATGTCAACGGGGTGGGGGAAGCTGAGGTCCCAGGAGGTGAAGGCAGTTCCAGGTGGCTCCCCGGGCACTGAGTAGGACAGGGCATAGGGGGCATTTTAGCTGGGTTTTGAGGGATGAATAGAAGTTCACTCCATTCTCTCAGTCAACATGTGATGGAGCCCTGACTGTGGACCAGGTACTGCCCACAGTAGGCAACAAAACACAAACCTTGGAGCTGACATCCTAGTGGGAGAGACAGACAACCAGCAACTACACCAGGAAAATGCAGCTGCTGGTGGTCGGAGGCCTAGTGAGGACACTCAGGCCGAGGAGGGACGGGGCACGCAGGGTGGGCTGCTCTTTTAAGGATCTGCATGGGGATCTACTGGGAGCCGTCGGGGGTGGGGGGCAGGGGAGGGACACAGGCGGACGGCGTTTGGGACAAGAATCTGTTGTGGGCAAGATGGAGGCCGGGAGGATGCAGAGGCCTGGTCAGGGCCATGGGGATGGCGGGGGGCCCGGGGGACAGGAGAGCAGTTCCACGGGGACAAAGTTTGGGGAGGAGGAGCGGGCGATACGCAGGCCCGTTTGGGGGCAGGTGGATGATGGGATTGTCACGGGGGCGGGGGCCCGAGAGTCGGCACAGGTTCCAGGGGAAGCCCCCCAGGCCGGCCTGCCAACCCCCCAATCCGAGGAGCCTGGGGGCTCAGGAAGGGGGCGCCCCGAAAGCTGAGAGGAGAGGGGTGGGGGGTGGGGGCTCCTGGACTTGGTGACAGGACGGGAGGGCGGCTGCCCGGCCCCGTGGGACAGGAGTAGATCCTTCGGGAACGTCGGCTTCGCGGGGAGAGACACACGGAACAGCTGGTAGAAAAGGGGCGAGGGGCCTGGAGGAGGAGCCGTGGCCCAGGAAGGAGGGGACTTGGGTAGGGGAGGCCCCCGACCCCCTGAGCGCCGGCGGGAGGGCTCCCTGGGGTGCCCCCTCTAAGGTGGGCTCAGCCGGCGGCAGCCAGGGGAGCGAGGCCTGTGGCTGGGGGACAAATCCCCTAATTGCTTCATCACTTTAAAACACGAACGTGCTGCTCTGTTCTCAGGCCCCAATTAGCTAATTGGCCACAGTGGGGGGTGGGGGGGCTTAAGAGGCCCTGGGAGGGATGGGGCATCAGGCCTGGGGGCTTTGGCGACTTAGCGGGAGGGACGGGCTGAAGATGCAGACGCTGTGTCAGCTTAAAGGGCCGGATTAGGGGTGGCGCCGGGGCGCAGGCGGCCCCCCCGCTGGACTCGTGAGGCCAGGCCACTCTCAGCCCCTCTGGCCGCCCACCCTTCCTGTCTCCCCCAGGAACAGACACTAAACCCCTTTGGGTGCTGTTGGGGAAACAGGCCAGAGGGTGGGCAGTGCCTCAGGGGCACGGCAGGAGATCCGCAGGACCTTGGGGCGTTTCTCCAGCTCAGGCTCAGCTTGGCAGGATTGGGGGGTGCGGGGGGGGGGAGGTCAGCCCTGGGGAGGGCGTGCTGTGGCCCGTGTCCCCTCCCTAGCTCAGGGGGTCCCGGGGTGGGGACCACGCCCAGCCTGGCCCCAGACCCCCTCTGGGCCTCCTGGAGGCTGCCAGGCTGGAAGCGTGAACTGAGAGGGGTGGCTGACGGTCAGAGTCATAAACGGGCGCCAGCTGCATGCGCTCAGCCCTCCGCTGTGTGAGCCCCTGGGGTCCTCACCCCCCACCCTGGGAAGAGACGCCTGACCACAGAGGAGGCTGCCGGGGCCTGGCAGGGGGACCAATCGCCAGTTTGCCAGGGACTGTTCCAGCTTTAGCACTAATGTCCCCCATCCTGGAAACGCCCGATGTCCGGGATGGTTGGTGACTGCAGGCCGGGCCCACAAAGCCAGGGGGGCAAAGGATCCGAAGCTGGTGGTGCAAGCCAGAGGCCCAGCCCCCAAGTGAGGGGACAAGAGAGGCAGGGTCCGGGACAGGCCACGCAGCGGGCGTTTCTCAGCGAGCCCCCCAGAGGCCCCGGGCCAGGCTGTTGTGTTGTGACAGCAGGACGACGCAGGTGGCTGCCCCAGAGCGTCCCCCGGGGGGAATGACGCTGCAGGGGCAGACCCTCTCGGGGCATGGGGCTCGGAACCCCGCGGCCGCTGGCATTCTCCCAGAGCCCTTTGTGCCTGGGACCCCAAGGGTCAGGGCGGGTCCTGACCACTGAACCGGCCCCCACGGGTGGCCCGCAGTGGGTGCCGTGGGTGATGGCCAGTGGGTCCACGGTGGCTGTGCTCCCCGGCCCAGAGCATCTCCTGGCCCCATCCTGGGGAGCTATGTCCCCACGGTGGCTGCGAGGTCCCAGCGGGGGGCAGCCCTCAGTGGGCAGATGCCCCAGCAGGCAGGTCGCCCGGGCTCAGTAGCGGGGGCCCCAGGGTGGTGAGGACACCGGGGTTGCAGAGAGACGCAGACACCCAGTCCTCAGAACCGGTCTTTATGGAGCCGCCAACCCCCAGGGCTGAGGTCCGCGGGCTGCCGAGCCCCCAGGCCAGCCGGCCCCTGCACCGTGAGCCAGGCGGGCACCTCATGGGTCCCGACCCTCCTCGGGCTGGCACGCAGCCCCACCCATGCCCCCCACAACCTCGGTCCTCCGGGCCTGGCCGCCGGGCAGTCAGGGCTCCTGGTCGCGGGGCAAGGTGGACCCGTCCGCGTCCTGCGCCCCCGCAGGGGCCGAGGCACTGGCGGTGCGCAGCTCCCGGGCCAGCTTCTCGGCCAGTTTGCGGAAGGGCGGCCGGCGGGCGGGCTCGGCCTCCCAGCAGCTGCCCATGAGCGCGTGCACGGGGCCCGGGCAGCCCTCGGGGGGCTCCATGCGGTAGCCCTTCTCCACGGCCTCCGACACCTCCTTCAGCGACTGTGGGCAGAGCGCACGTGGTGGGCCCAGGCGCACAGCCACGCCCCGACCGCACAGGACCCCGCACCCCCCGACCCCGCTCACCATCTTGGGGTACGGAGCCCGGCCGTAGGAGAAGACCTCCCAGAGCAGGACCCCGAAACTCCAGACGTCCGACTTGCTGGAGAACTTCTGCGGGGCAGATACCAGGCTGAGGAGGGACCCCGGCCTCGGCTCCAGCCCCTGTTGCCTCCAGGAAGGCCCCCTGGGCTGACCTTTGCTCTCTGGTCTCTTCCCAACAGACTCCTCCCCGAGGCCCCCCCCCATCCAAGCAGAGCTCAGACCCTCTGCTCAGATCCAGAGCACGAGGTAGGCCTGGTTCCTCCTGCCCTCAGCCTGGGTCCGAGTCTCTTTCAGAAGTGGGGAAACCGAAGCCCAGACAGGGTCGCACAAGGGAGAGGCCAGACAGGGCTAAAAGGAACAAGTACGGGCCAAGTGCTCGCTGGTGAGGCAAACTTCCTTTGGAGGTTCAGAGAGGCCAAGAGACATGCCCAGGGTCACACAGCACAGCTGGGGCTCCAAGGGCCCTGGGACGAGGGGGGCTCACCCCTTGTTTGAGAGCCTCGGGCGCCGTCCACTTGACCGGCAGCCGGCTGGAATCCAGCCCCTTCCGCTCGGCCTTGGCCAGGCCGAAGTCGCTGACCTTGGCCACCAGGTCCTCGGAAATGAGGATGTTGCGGGCGGCAAGGTCCCGGTGCACCAGCTTCTTGCTCTCCAGGTATTCCATGCCCTCGGCCACGTGCCTAGAGAGGGGCCAGGCACGTGCGCTGGGGTGGCTGGTCGCAAACCCGGAAGGCCTGGCTCCTCCCCGCTCTGTGCCTCAGTTTCCCCATGACCTCGGGAAGCCCCCCAGCCCCGGAGCCCCACTCACAGGGAAAACTGCAGGAGCTGCGGCGTGTTGACCAGGGCCCGGCCTCGCGTCCGTAGGAAGTTCACGAGGTTGCCCTGGGGGGGAGACATGGTGGGGGGAGGGGGGGGTCTCGAGGCTGCTCGGCCGGCGCCCCCCGCCCGCAGCCCGGGCGCCGCCCACCTTGCTCACGTGCTCCATGACGATGAACAGCCCCTGGTGCAGGATCACGCCCAGCAGCCGCACCAGGTTCTTGTGCTGCATCTTCCTGGGGGCGGCAGCGGGTGAGGGCGCGGCCGGGACCCCCGACCCGGGATGCCCGCCCCGACCCCGGCACTCACGTCATGACCGCCGTCTCGTCCAGGAAGGCCTGAGCCGTCACGTCGCACTTGATGTTCTTCACGGCCACCTTCTGGCCCAGGTACTCGCCCTGCAGGACGGCTGGGGGCGGGGGGCGCGGGCCCGGGATCAGGACCCCAGAGACACGCGGACACGCCCACCACGCGGACACCCCCGGGGCCGCCCGGAGACCCGCCCCTACGCGCCCCAAATCCCCGATCGCAGAGAATCAGCTAAGCCTAAGGGGTCTGCAGACTGCGGCCCTCGGGCCACGTCCAGTCCCGACGCCACTTTTTTGCCAGGCCTGCGAGCTCCGAGTGGCTTTCCCATTTTTAAATGGTTGAAACGATCGAAACAGTAATAATGTTTCGCGCCACGAGCAAATGACATGAAATTCACGTTGGTGTCAATAAAGTTTTATTGGCACAGGCCACGCCCACTCGTTCCCCTGCCGTCTGCGGCTGTCCATCAGCAGAGCGGAGCATGCGCACAGGCCGCCCACCTCGCGACCCGCCCTGCACGGAGTCGGTCGGCAGCCCCCCTCACCGCCCCCGCGCCCCGCTCACCTCCGAACTCGCCCTCGCCGATCTGCGCTCCCAGTGTCAGATGCTGCAGCTCCAGCAACCAGCCGGCTGCGGGGCGGGGACCCGGTCAGAGGGGCGACGGGCTCCCCCGGCCCCGCCTCGGGGCTCCACCTGGCGACACCAGGCGTCTCCACCGCGCCCCGGCCGGCGGCACCCCACCCCTGGTGCCAGGGATCGGGGGTCCAGAGCAACAGAGGCCACCGCTCAGGGCCGCCCTGTCTCCTCCACCTGGAGGCTGTGTCCGTCCAGATACCCCGTGGGCCCCTCCCTTTACAGTCCTTTATCTCTGGTCACCCAGGGACACGCACAGAGAAAAAAAGACAACAGATGTGGAGACTCGGAAAGCTTCTGGAAGGTTCCAGAATCTCCCAGGGCTTTAAGTCGTCATCTGGGCTGTGGCCTCCCTGATCCTTTTTCTCAAGCACAGCTGTGTTCTCCCCTCCAGCAGGTTCGGTAGGCCTCCTCCTCTTCCTCCCCAGATCCCCCCGGAAAATCACGAGCCCTTAGGTACAATCGGGCACGGTGACACCAGCCTCCACCCAGGCACCATCCCCAAGGGGCCACTGCATCCAAGAAGACAGCCACGGTCATCGGGTTCAAAAGGGTGGCCGTGGGAGGGCGCATTCGCTTCGGGCCTCCAGTATGGAGGATTTCACTACTCGGGGACTGGACAAGCATTTCAGGTGGAGGGAACAGAAGGCACAGTGGCACAGAGGCAATAAGAAATGAGGAACCACAGCCCAGGGGGGCATGGAGGAAGGGCCCTGCAGAGGAGGCAGGAAAGGTGGCTCAGACACAAGAAGAAGTTCTGGAAGGCCGGGGAGCTGCTGGCCTCCCTCCTTTAAGCATGAGAGCAGCGTGGGTGGAATTTCTTTGTGGGGACGGGGCAGAGGTTGAGAGGAAGTGGGACCCCCCCCCCTCCAGGAAGAAGGTGGTTTGATGGGAAGGCCGAGGCTGGCCTGTGGGGGCGGGGTGCAGATTTAACAGGTGTTAGAACCTAGTGGTGGAGGGGATGTGGGAGGGTGGGAGGGTCAAGGCTCTGAGCCAGGTTTCAGGCTCAGGGGACAGGGCGGATGATGGGGACACGGGAGAAGCAGCAGGTGTGGGACCCGCTCGGTATCGGGCTGAGGGGGCCCCTGCCCGACCCGAGGGCTGCTCAGGTCTCCTCACCGTGCCAGGCGCGGGGACCTGCTCAGGGGAGGTGGCCCTGGCCACATGCCAGGCCCCGGGGTCCCCTCCCCAGGCCGTGCCAGCATGGGAGCGGAGGGGGTGGCTCACCCTTGGCCAGCTCCTCCTCCGCCGACTTGGTGCCCTGCTTCCTCTTGGGTTTCACGAGCTTCGTGCAGATGGCCCCCTTGTCCTTGCTGTAATGCTGCCGGATGCGCAGGGCAGAGGCGGTGTGAGCGCGACCCCGGGGGGGGGGGGGGTTGGGGGGGCCTGCATCCCGTCCCCCTCCCCAGGGGCCTCTGGGTGGGGGGCCAGGAGGAGAGGGGTTGGTTCCCACAGGATGCGTTGGGCTGGTTTCCATGGAAACGGAAAGGATGCAGGCGAGGAGGAAACAGGAGGATCCCGGGGAGGGGGCTCTGCATTGATGTCAACTTGCAGGTTCCTGGGGGTCCCCAGAGGAGCCGCCCAGTCCCTGGAGGTGGGACCCAGCGGCCTCAGACCTCCTGTAGGGTCGGTGGTCCATGGAGGCCAGCCCCTGCATCTCCACACTGGGGAGCACGCAGCTCTGGGCGTCCCGGGTGCACCCGGCTGCCGGGATGGGGCGGCGCCCGGGGTCCCTCTGTCTCCACACGGGGGGTCGGGGCCGCGCGCACGCGCGCACCTCCACCATGTCCATGAGGTTGCAGAAGCAGACGGCCTCGTCGATGGTCAGGTGGCCGTCGCGGTGCAGCACGCGGTAGTGGATGACGTCGCGGCCGAAGCTCACGCAGAGCACGTAGTCGCCGGGGTGCCGCGCCGACTCGCGCACCAGGAACAGCCCGTCCTCGGGCGGCTGCAGCTGCTGCACCGCCTCCTGGCCCGAGATCTTGCCGTGGAACCACCTGCGGCCGGCGGGAGGGCGCGCTGGGCCGGGCTGCCCGGGCCCCCGACCCCCGCCCCGGGCCGTCCCACACTCACGGCATGAGGCTGAGCTTGGGGTCCGCAGAGAGGGCCTCGCGCTCGCGCAGCGCGCCCGCCGCCAGCAGCCCCTCCTGCCCGCTGGCGTGGTGCTTGGCCCGGTACCAGCTCTTGCTCTGCGCGGAGGGAGCCAGGGGTCGGTGGGGGGGCTCCCAGCAGAGCCCTGTCCCCAGGCAGCCCTGGGCCCTCGGCCACCGCTCACCTCGCCGGCCTCCAGGATGGTGACCACGTCGCCCTTTCGGAAGGCCAGCTCCCCCGGCTTGGGGCGCGTGTGCTCACACTTGGTGATGCATTGGGTGCCCGGGGCCCAGCGCCTCTGGGAGGAGGATGAGGGGGACCAGGGCACCGGGGGCATGAGGGACAAATGGGGAGAGAGAGAGGCCGAGAGGAGAGAGGACAGGAGGAAGAAGGAATGGAAATTGAGGAAGAGATGAGACACAGATGGAAAATTGGATGGAGACAGAGAAAAAGAGGGAGAGCGCGGGGAGCAGCCAGCAGAGAAATATTAGACGGCAAACCTAGGGGCCCAGGACCACAGGTCAAAGGTCGGGAGGAGAAGGCGAGAGAAATTCAACACTAAGGGACGGAGAAAGACTGGGCAGACACCGGCTAAAGGGGACCTGGGAGAGAGTCCAGCCCCCCGGGGAGTTGAGGTCCCTCCAGGGTGGGCTGAGCGGGAAGGGCTGGGGCCACAGGCTGGGGCGCTCACCGTTGGCATCCTGGCTGAGACGGGAGGGGGTGCTGGGTGCCGAGGAAGCGAGGGCTCACCTGGGGAGGGCCAGAGACCCGCTGGAGAGCCCAGACCCCAGCCGGGCTGGGCCCCGGGGACCAGTACTACCTCTCTGAGCCCAGCCAGGTGGAGGTGACAGCCGGGGGGCATCCCCTGGGGTGGGGACCAGGCCCTGGCTTCCCGATCCCATGTGGGGAGGTGCTCTCTACCCAGGGGCGTTCCTTAGCAGAGTCGAAGCCATGAAACACCAGGAGGGAAAACCACAGAACCTCACCTCGCCATCATCCCCAAAGGGAAACTGAGGCACAAGGTGGGCAGAGAGCAAGTGGCCACAGGCTGGGGAGGGCGGAAGCGCCTGGCTCGGGCCCCAGCAGCCCGCACGGTGCGTGGGGAGCTCGGTGCCACCTAATCGAGGCTGGTTCTTCCTCTTTCTTGCTAAGTGGGAGCAGAGGATGACTCAAGGTCACTCCCGAGAATCGCTGACCCTGGGGGGGAGGGGGGCACGCAGCCCAGCTGGGCTCCTTGGGCTGCCAGCTGGGCCTCTCTGATCCCCCCACTGTGCCCCAGGAGGGACACACAAAGTGGCTCGCTGGTGCTGGGTGGGGGCATTTCACCCTGTCTCCAGCGTGGACCCCACGGCAGGGGTGGCTGGGGGGGCTGAGCCTCTTTTTCCTGTATGCACCCCCCGGAAATCCCCAACCTCCTGTGTTCTCACACGCATACAGATCCACGTATGCACAAGCACACACAGAAACACACGGGGCGTGGACACAGGTGCCCCCAGCCACGCAGGGGTGCCAGCAGCAGCTTGATCCCCTAGAGACACGTGTGCACACCGTCCACACGTGTGTACACGCGCACAGACGCTCGGACATCCGAAACGTGTGTACCTGTCCCCACCCCCCCACACACACACCCACGCTTGAACACCTGGGCGCCAGACTCAGGGCCACCCGCGCACGCACAGCGACACGCAGGGCCGCGCACACGCATCTCGGCCACACGCGCACACCCTCCACGTGGACGCGCGGATACACACACCCGGGACTCGTAGACGCGCACCCCCGCAGCCAGAAAAAGGCCCCCCACGCCGCGCCTGGTCGCCTCCAGCCACCGCCCGTCCCAGCCGCGTACCCGCCGCGCGCCCCGGACGCGCACCCTCGCGCGCACAGCGGCCCCTCCCGCGCACGCCCGGGGTCCCCCCGGAGTCCCCTGGTCCCCCCACTGCCCCACGGTCTCTGCCCCCAACCCCGCCGCCGCGCTCACCTGTTCAAGGCGCGCCCCCGGGCCGCACCCCGCGCCCGCCCCCAGGAGGGCCCCCGCGCGCCGGCTGCGCACCCCGAGGCGGCCTCGGCTGCACAACTTGGAGCAAGTTGCTCCGTTTCCTCATTTTGGGGGGGGAGGAGGGCTGGGGTTGGGGGGAGCAGGAGGCGCGCGGCCTGGGAGGCCCCCGCGGGTCCTAGCGCCGGCCGCACTGCGGTCTGCTCGGCGCGCCGCCGCTGCCGCCGCCGGCCCCTCCCCGCCCCGCCCCCGCGGCCCCCGGCGCCTCCCGCCGCCTGGGCGGGGGCTGGTGGCGCTCGCGGGCTCCCCGCCGCTCTCCGGCCTGGCGCCGCGGGGCGCGCACCCCGCCCGCCCCGGGATGCGGACGCATCGGAGAGTGAATGGGGTCCCGCACTTGCGCGCGCGCACGAGCGCACGGGGAGGGGAGGTCGAGTGAGCTGCCCATCCGGGGAGGTAAGCAAGCCGCGGAGCCCAGACGACACCGTGGACTCTTCTGACTACGATTCCAACGTCCTCAGTCACCTCCTCTGCCAACGGGGAGGGCACCTTCAGAGAGCTGTTGGTGCCTGGCGCAAAGAAAGCGCCCCCAAATGTCAACCGCTATCCGTATCATTATGATCATCATCTACATCAAGGGAAAATTGGGGCCACGGGAAGCAAACCATCTGCAACGGGAGGCCTCCTGGAGGAGCAGCCCCGCGTGGAGGCTAACAGCGGGGTAGGCCCGGGCCAGCCCAGCCGTGGCAGAGGCAGGCGCTGCCGCCCTCCCAGCCTCGGTTTCCCCCTCTGTAGGGCTGCGCAGCACCGGCTTCGACCTCAGGGGACAGTCTGGTGAGCACTTGATGGCCGCCGTCCTGGCCGGTCGCCCTGTGAGCCCCTTCGGCCGCCTTCCTTCTACTGGATGCGTCCGCGTGGACCAGGCTGAGGCCGATCTTGCGAGGCCGCGAACTGAGCCGCCCAGAGAGCCGGGGTCCCCATTCAAGTTTCTGTTCCCCCACGAGGCCCAGGGGCTGTGCCTCTAAGGCCGCCCTGAGGTCTGGGAATAGAGGCCGAGTGAGGAGAGTCACAGAACAGCCACATGCTAGAATATTATGCAACAACAACTAGGAAACTATACATATTAAAAGGCGAACGTCAGCCGTTGTCGACCCCCCGCCCCCCGGGATGTGACACAACCCAAAGGCACCATGCCATTCACCTCATGCAGGAGAGAATAAATCCCAGCGGGGAGTTCCAGAGGGGGATCCCCCAACTGGCACTGGGGTCACGCTCAGCCGGGGCCGCGCAGGAGGAGGGGGCGCTGTGTTACTCATTATTCGCGGCCAGAGCGTTTGCAGGGAGGGTCCACGGATCCAGCGGCGGGACAGTCCCAGGGCGTGGCCCCCGCCTCCCAGCCGCGGGCACCACTTTGGCCCTGGGGCTGGGGACCCTGCAGCCGCATTCAGCAGGGCCCCCAGGCGCCCACCATATATGGCAAACCACCCTCACTTGCCCGAAATAGAAACGCGGCATCAGAATAGTCACAGCGGAAACCCAGCAGCACCGCTGGCTTCTCCTGAGCCGCTGCTGCCGCGCGGGCCCCACCGCGACGACGACCGGGGCTGCCCCCTCTGTGCGCAGCAAGGACGGGAGGCCGAGCTAAGACGTTGAGACGCCCCAGCACCCCCGGAGACTTTCTCCAGGATGCAATTTTTAGCATCTGAGCAACACCTCCGTCCTCCCCAGGCCCCCAGGGTCCTGTCCCACACTCCCTACCCGAGAAGGAGCAACCAGAGAAACCAGAGGCGTTGAGGCTGGAGGAGGGTAGACTCGAGGAGACAGGGTCAGGGCCTGAACCTCCAGGCGCAGGGAGCCCCCAGGGCCTGGGCACAGGGCACTGAGCTGCGCCCGGCTCTAGGGGTACAGATTTGAGTCCACAGCTTATTTGGGTCAGAGCTACCGAAGGGGTGAGCTCCCTGTGCCTGGAAGCATCCAAGAACTGGCCACTTTGGATCACGAAGACTAAATGGGTCTTCCAGTCCTCAGAGGTGGCCACACCAGTTTCTCCTGCCTCCTGCCAGGAGCCAGGGGACTCGCCCCTCTTTCTACCAGCCTGAAGCCAGTTGGTGGCCACCCCATTGGATGGGACTCCAGAATTCACCAGTCCTGGGCTCCTCACCCTCCACATTTCGGTCCAGTCGACTTGATTCCAGAAATTTTCTCACGCCCCAGGCCACCCTCCTGTGCAGGCGCGTGACAAGAAGCCCCTCCTGGCTCTCGCGGCTGCCTCCAGTTTCTCTGCGAGAAGAATTCGCCTCCTCAGTTCCAGCCATGCCTGCAGCTCATGCTAGAGCTGGAGCAGCTGAGACCCAGAGAGGCCAGGCTACTTGCCTGTGGTCACACAGCGGGCTGGGGCTAATAGTTAGGCCTGCAGACTCCTCCAGTGGGGCTGGAAACTTCTCAAAGGCAGGGCATCTTTCTCATTCTTGCTGGTAAGGACAGAAGCACTGTAGGCAATGAACAAAGGGAGGCATGCGACCGGCACTTTACATAATGCATCGATCAGGATTAGGACTGGCTGCATGGGAGGGGAGACCCCAAGTGCTAGAAGATTGAATTAGGCAGAAATTAATCTTCTCCCAGGGAGGCTATCCTGGGCAGTGTCAGGGACCCAGGCTCCTGCCATCTTGTTGGTCTGCCTTTCTCAGCACAAGAGCTTCCACCTCTTGATCTGAGATGGCTGCTCAAGCTCCAGCCATCCCATCTGCATTCCAGCCAACAGGAGGCAGGGAGCTGGCAGAGAAAGGAGCACCTCCTCCCTTTACGGACCCTCCCTGGGTCCTTAAACAAAGGAAATGCCATTGTAATTTCATCTCGCTGGGTGGAACTTAGCCACATGGCCAAACCCAGGAGCAGGAGAAGTTGGCGGATGCAGTCTTCACACCGGGGGCCAAAGAAGAGGGGGCGGCGGGGCACTGGCCTCCTCTCCCTCAAAGCCTCCAGGCTCGCTCCCACCTCAGGGCCTTTGCATGAGCCGTGCCTTCTGCCTGGGACCCCTCCCCAGACATACTCAACGTTCCAGCAGTTCCTGGAAGATTCCATCCCGCTGACCCGGCACGTCCCTGCCTGTCACTCTGTGGAGGCCCCGCCGCCGGACTGACGGTGGATTTGACGTGCTCGTCCACTCACTGGCTTTGTCCTCCCCAGAACGTCAGCTCCGGGGGGCAGGGGCTGTGGACGGCGCCATTCCCGCCGCGGCCTCAGTACCTGGCACACAGTGGGTGCTCCGAGCATGCGTTTTCACCCGAGGACTGTGGGAGGGGACAGCAGAGCCGTCTGAAGCTGCGGCCCAGCTCGCCCCGGGACACAGGAGGCGGGGACTGGCCTTGGGGCCCAGCCACCTGGCGGGAGCTGGGCACACGGGGGACCCAGGAGGACGTGCCGCACCTGAGCTCTCCAGGTCTGGAGGGCGGGCAGGCCGCCGGGGCCCTGGGACCCTGGCTGGCGCGGTCGGGTGGCCTGCCCCAGTTAGCACCTCCTTGAATCGAGCTGTCCCCTCCCTGCGGCCCTGGGGCCAGTGGAGGACCGCGCCGCTCTTTCAAGGACAAATGCCGCCTGGCTCACTGTGCAACCAGGGTTGCGGTCCATGTCGAGTGAGGGGGCTCTCGGGGTGACCCGCTCAGGGGTGCAGGCTGTGCTTCGGGGAGATCCACCTGCGAGAGAGGGGGGTGTCTGCCCTCCCCCACACGCCTGTCCCACTCTCCTTGTGATCCAGGTGGAGCTGGCACGTCATTTCCCAGCCACACTGGCAGCTTCAATATAGACTGCCTGCCTTCCCGTGGCTCCCACTGTGGCCCACGACCGGCTTGGCCCGGCCACTGTCACCTCTCTGCTGTCAGCTCCCTCCACCTTCTGAGCTCACTAGCTCCTGTTTCTCAAGTGTTCCTGGTGCCCACTAGCCACAGGGCCTTTGCACGTGCTGTTTCCTTCTCCTCGTAGATGCTTCCGCCCAGTTTTTCTCAAGGCAGGCTCCTTCTCAGCATGTCCAGCTCCTCCAAGAGACCCTTCCTGATTCCCATGGTGGCCACCCCCCATCCAAGCCCGAATCACTGCCTGTCACCCTGTCTTGCTCATTCTCGTCGATTGTCCTCCTGCCTCGCCTCACTGAGCTCCCCTCGACAGAACGTCTGCTCTGTGAGTGAGGGCAGGGACCGGCTCTGGCTCAGACACTCATTTCTCTCTGGAGCTTGGCGCACAGTGGGCCCTCGTGGGACAAATGGACACGGGATCCGATGAAAGGGTAGAGTCGGAGGGAGGAGGCTGGGAGAACCACAAGGTGCCGGAAGGGAAGCTGCGTCTGTTGGAAGGCCCAACCCCGGGCACCTGCTCCGGGAGCCCCCCTTGATCCTCCCCATCCCGTCCCACACCCTCATCCCCTAACTGAGTCGGCAAACTCTCTCTGCAAATGGCCCGACCCTCCGTCTCCACGAGTCAACTCTGCCTCTGTCGCATGAGAGCGGCCGTGGGTTCCACGTAAGCCACGGGGCGCGCCTGCGTTCCGATGAAGCTGGACTTGTGGACGCTGAAAGGTCCGTGTCCTATACTTCTCACGGGTCACGCGACATCATGACTCTCTGCATTTTTTCCAGCCATTTACACGCGGCAAGGGCCATGTGTAGCTCGCGGGAGGCACAAAGGCAGACGGGGTGAGCGGGCTGCGGTTTGCTGACCTCTGATCCCTCGCAATCTTTATTTTCTCAGCAGCAGG